AAAAAAAAAAGCTGTAACAATGAAACTCGAATACGTGGCGTGAATATGAAAAAAGATGCTGTTTGAAACAGTTGTTGTATTCTAGATTCCATAAAGGACGTGTATTGTTGGAACAGTCGGCTGTTGATCAGGGGAAACAACCATTCAAGTGGTTCGAGTGAAAGAAATCTGCTCCGTAGGAAATTGTTAATTTTTTTTTTTTTTTCTTTGGTGTGTGTTTTGGGATCAAGGTAAAGAGGAAAAGGTGAACTATGCTGATGTTAAATCTGAGAGACACAGGAAGCATTTCATCGATAAAACCCAATTTGGAGGATTTTTATGTATTTTTTTTTTCTTTTTTTTGTAAGTGAATCCTCAGTTTTTTCGAAGTCAAATCCCTGCATTGAAGACTTATTTTTATGTTGTAGTGTTCTGGAGTTCAATTCTTTCCTCACTCTGGCTTTCTTTTTGTCTGTCGACGTGGACTTTGTAGCACAGTCACTGGCCTCAGGTACTGTGGAAGAGCGAGAGAAACAGATATTAAGCTCTCTTATTATTATTATTGCACTTTTGGAAAAAAAAAAAAAAGAAAAAACGATTACAGTGGAAAACTTTAGGTTTGAAATTAACAATTAAGAAAACAACTTAATAAAGACTGATCTAGGAAGAGTCCTTCACAACGCTTATATCTGAGTTATGGCTGAAAAATGTTGGGAAAAAAAAGAAGAAGAAGAAGAAGAAGATATGTCTTTTGATTTTTATTTCTTACATCAAAATAATTTACCAGGAAATCATAGTTTGTGCCTTTCTAAGTAAAATGTTTAAAGCTCAAGTGAGTGTCCCGCGATGGCATTTTATCTAATCTGACCCAAATGCTCACTGGATTACTGTGTGTGTGTGTTCATGTGTGTGTGTGTTCGTGTGTGTGTGTGTGTGTGTGTGTGTTGGTGTGGAAGTTGTTGTAAGCAAATGTGATGACCGTGCACATCCCTCTCTGTCACTTGTCTACATGGTTTTCCCGCTGACCCTCTGCCGTGACAGTCGGCGGCGTTGGTTTGGGTCAGGACAGTGTGCCGGGTCACAGAGATCCAACAGACAGCAACCCAAATCTATCTGATCCGCCGCTTCATCTCATCTGGAGGTCACACACACACACATGCAGCTCAGTGTGCTTGTTTAAAAGGTACATCAGATCTGTAACACGACTGTTTCCCATCAAACTGGACCAGATCGGAAACAACTTGATAGAAGTTCTGACCCGCTGCATCGCTCGTTCTTTTCCATCGTTGTTTGTTTGTTTGCTCCGGTGTGTGACAGTCTGCTGCTCTGTGTTCATAACCGCCTGAAGCTTGTGGCTCATCAAAAATAGCAAAATTTTATATCCCTGAGTTATTTCAAGGACTAATCCAGCTACTTTAATTGTTCGCTCCCTTAAGCAGAAGGAATAAACAGTCGGATCTTCTGAGGTTCTGAGGTTTGGAGATGAGTAGGGCTCACAGTCCAGGAATCACTGGATCTCACATTTACCCACAATGCAACTGGAGATTATCATTCAGCTTTACAGGCCCCTAGATTCCTCCGTTAAACCTTCACATTTCCAGTTTGTAAACGATGTCAACTTTCCATAATTCTTCAGTTCCTGTAGGTTCATGTTCTCATGTAGAACTGATGGAGCGCTGCTTTAAAGAGCCGCTCGGCCTCCTCACCGCTCATGAGGTTTATCTTTAGATTTACACATTACACAAGACTGACTGACTGACTGACCGGTATGTCATCGCTGTATGATGTGAACCACGTGTGTGTCATGTAAAGGGAAGCTATGGAAGTGATGTTGCAAACATGTAGAAACCAACATGACCATGAGCTGGGGACAGACGCTGGACATCAGAGACAAACTGAGACTGAATGTTTTGTGACTGAATTAATGTGGGTTCAGACTTCATTCCAACCAAACGTGGAAACCCGAAGAAGATATTTGAAATCTCACATGATGAACAAAGTCGATGAGCTTTTTATGAGTTTATGTTGAGCTTCTCATGTGAACCTTGGAGAGATAAATGTCTGTGTGAGCTTGTTTGGAGGACTCAAGTGCTCAAAAGCCGCTGGCTGTGTGAAGGATGGAAAGAGGAACCGACTGTATTTGGTGACAGTATTGACACTCACGAGTTTTAAACGCCACTCATAACCATATGGCTTCATTTAGACCACATATGAGGCGTGTGCTCTGCAGAGCTGTATGTTTGCTGCTGTATAATAACCCGAACACAAAGCAAATGTCCAGATGTTCCGAGGATGACTCAGGACGCTCCAGGCGCGCTTTTACGCGTAAAGTTCGTCGCTGCATCCAAAAACCCTGACAGCTGAAAAAAAAAAAAAAGAAGAAGCTTTTGTTGGCGCAATGAATGATTCCACTTAAAGCTAAACCGGTTCAGCTGAGCACCGAGGAAACCCAGCTTTGACACGATCCATGACAAACGATGATTTAGAATTGGGGGATTTTTGATTTTTTTTTTTTTTGGAGATTCTCAGACCAGGGTTGAACTGTGTTTCTGCTCTCTTAGTGTAACTATTTGCATTATGTATTTGTAAATATGACAACGACAGATCTCTAATTGTGAATAAAGGAAGTTTTATCACAGGAGTCGACCATGGAGCAGTTTGTGCCTGCTGATCGGTCTTTATCAGTCTGCAGGCGGCTTTGTTACGCAGCGGGACATTTTCTCAACGACCTGTGCGCCTCCATGTGGTTCACGTACCTGCTGGTGTTCCAGCACTCGGTTCTCGGCCTGCAGAGCACCTCGGCAGGTGTGATGCTGCTCATCGGGCAGGTCGCGGACGGAGTTTGCACTCCTCTGGTGGGATACGAGTCTGACAGGACGGCGGGCAGCCTGAGACACGGCAAGAGGAAAACCTGGCATCTGTTGGGCAAGTACCTGAGCGCATGTGTTCCTCACAGGCTGCAGGAACGATGCTGTGTCCTGCTGCCAGCATTAAGTGATCATCAGTCATGATATAGAAAGAAAATAGACCAAAAAGATTAAAGCAAAAATACTGTTGGAAAATTAAAAACATTAAAGCAATATTCCGGCAGCGAAAGCGCCACAAATAAAGAAATGAAAAAATAACGGGAAACAAACATGGCAGAAAAAAAAACATCCATTTCCCACAATTAAAATACATTTTAGAGCCTTAACTAAGTTTTTTTTGACTGTTTAATGAAGGATATTTGCACGTGTAAAAACATCTCTTATACATACATTATATGGAGTAGAAGCAAACTCTAGATATATCTGTACTTTGACTGATTTCCACTACTTAGAGGTAACATGCACAGATAAAAATGTTCATAAAAAAACTTAATTTAACGTTTTTCTTGTGAAAGATCTCATTTAAACAATTAATGTGAAATTACAGAACCAGTGCTTCTCTTTAGATGTAACGGTATTAAACTTAAAGTATCAGTTTCATTTATTAAAAAAGAAGAAAAAGAATACTTGTGAAATTATTATTTATAATTATTTGTGAAATAATATTTGTGGTTATTTATGGTTATGTATCTTTAATGTTAATCCACTGTTTTTTGTCATTTTATTTATATTTCAAAAATATGGAACAAGCCTGTAAAAGAAAAAAAATCTGATCAATTACAAATCAATCAGTTATACGTTTCTTTTACAGTGTGCTCCATAAAATTGTATTTCCAGCAAATTGGCAGCGACCTGCTGCATCCTAACAACAAGTATTAATGCAGAGCAGTGTCCTGTTGAATGTTTATTTCTGCAGCATTTTAACAGAAGCAGTCGTAGAGGGGCTCATTTAACTACACTGGGTTTGTTGATAACATAAGAAGGCTTTAGATGAAGTCAGAGTTAAAAGTCTTTTCTTTGACACCTAGAAGTAAGTTGTCCAAGAACCAAAGAAGAAATTGTCTTCTACTGAGACGGAGAATCTGCACAGACATGAACAGCTGAGCCCTCTTATGAGAATGAACAGAGTTCAGGATGAGATCAGTGGAAGGTGCAGCCGTATGACAGGTCTTGTGGTGATTACATGTTGTAGATATTAAAACACTCTCACAGCCCACTGGACAGAATCAGACTGATTAGAAGGTGAGGACCCAGAATGTTCATTAAATGGTTTCAGAGCTGAAGGACTGCAGTCGTCCTCAGAGTTATTCATACCCTCCCATTAAAGAAGGAAAACACAGCTGGCACTGGAATAAGTTCACAAAAGTAATAATAAATAAAAATTTAATGAAAATCTAGCCGTTGCTTTTGACTTGTGGTTCAACAGAAATATATACAAAAAAACAAGCAAACCAGCCTGATGGACCTGTAAACTAATATCTAGCTGAACAACCCTTTGAGCCAATCACTGCCATCAGGTGTTTCCTGTAACTCTCAGTCAGACTTGTGCACCTGTTGGCAGGTGTTCTGGACCACTGCTCATCAGCAAAGGCCTCTCATTCATCCAGGACTGTTTTGTTTAGTTTAGTTTTTTAAATTATTCTTTTCTACCACAATTCAAAAGCAACATCTTATTTCACTAAATAATAATTTAACAAATTTTTATTTATTATTACTTTTTTCAGTTTCTTGTTATTTGAGTGGCTAAAGTGTATTTTGCCTTTTCTTTAATGAAGGGGATGAATACATCTGAGGACGACTGTAACAGCCACCCTGGTGTCCAACAAAGCTTCAGCAGAGATGATTTTATTTTTCTCTACAGAGGTAGAAAGAAACAGAGATGCTCATTCAGGGGATGTTAGTGTCAAAGCCCTGATGCTCCACATGACTCGGGACATGGGGGGAGTGTGGAAGTAAATCTGACTTCAGCCACAGCTCCCATTTATAACCCTCCACCACAACATTACTGACATCTTAATATCTTCATTTATGGACAACGGGTAACTCTAAACAACCTGTGATTGAGAAAGTGGTGGCATCACATGTGCCCTCAGATCCTACTTTAATAAATCTGCACGGGATGTTTGGTGTTTCATTTTAGATGAAGGACCAATTTAAACTGTAGCTGCTGGAAACACCATGTTAATAATAAAATAGCTTTTTATAGAGCACTTTTCTGAGCTCATGTGCTGGACCGCAGCACACTTTTCGGTCACACTAGTATTCCTGAAACGTTGTGATACTCTTGAATGTTCACAGCTCTCTCTATGGGTCTGTTTTCCAGGAACTGTGTGTGTTTGCGTCTCCTTCCCCTTCATCTTCATGCCCTGCCTGACGTGTGGCGACGGCGCTCCTCAGTGGGCGCAGATCCTCTACTTCTCCCCCTTCATCATCATCTTCCAGTTCGGCTGGGCGGCCACGCAGATCTCCCACCTGTCCCTCATCCCGGAGCTGGTGTCCAGGGAGAGCGCCAAGGTGGAGCTGACCGCCTACAGGTGAGCCGACGTCATCCAGGATGCAGTGACCTCAGATCAGATCCTCAGGCTTGGAAAGGCAGTTTACCCACAAAGGCAGAATAAAGTCCTACTGACGCTGTGTGCTTTAGGAACAGGAGCATAAAGGTTGTAATTATGGAAAAGCAGAATATGATTTTGGTTTAATTTAATCAGATTATGACATTGTTAGACGAACTGACTGCTGTTTTTATCCGTATGTTTAGAGTATGGATGGTGTCAAAGGGGACGAATCCATGTGAGGACGACTGTATGAGCCAAAGTGTTGAGCTGCTGCTTTAACAAAGCTGTCTGCTTCATTAGTCGTTGTCATAGTAATCGCATCCTGTCTTCTGGTTGGAGCATTTTGCTGTTTCTAAATTTAAAAAACAAAACAAAAACACTAAACCATGCATGATGAGGCCACTTATTTCATGTATTCAGATATCTGTCCAGCCTCTTCATGCTGTGCTACCTCAGCTTCCACAGATATCAGGATGTTCTAAAGTATGCCAGCAGTGCAGTGTGTATGTCCAGTATGTCACACTATAACTCCAGAGGTCAAGGCAGGCCTGGAGCATAATGGTGGCCACACAAAGTAGTGACACTTTGGGCCCAATGTGGACATTTTCATTTAGGGGTGTGTTCACTTTTGTTTCCAGTGGTTTAGACATGAATGTTTGTGTACTGAGTTACTTTGAGAGGACAGTAAATGTACACCGACTGCTCTACATGGTAGCAAAGTGTCATTTCTTCAGCCTTGTCCCATGAACAGATTTAATAAAATATTTGCAGAAATGCTCTCACTGTTGTGACAAACTGTGATGCAACTTTACACGTGTGACAATCAAAAAGCAACGAGGCAGAACGAGCAGCCAGAGTGGTGAAAACACAGCAGAGGAACTAATTAAACTAAAGAAAAGTGAAGTAACGATCATGTCATCATGTCAGCAGAGCAGCTCAAAACCGGAAGCTCTAAACTGTGCCTCCAATTCTTGCTTTAAAGCTGTTTTAGTTGCCGTGATACTGTTTAATTGCTCCAAATACATCCACCTATGTGCAGGTACACCTTCACCGTGGTGGCCAACATCACTGTGTACGCTGTGGCCTGGCTGCTCTTTCACTTCCAGTCCCAGCACAGCATGGACCCGTCCATCACAGACAGCCTGGGCCAGGCGGACATCCCTCTGTTCAGGGTGAGAGCAGACGGACGCCTGACAGATTTCTCCACTCTGGCAACTTGACGGTTTTGACTTGAGCCGTCTCGCTCCGTTCACAGGTGCTGGCTCTCATACTGCTGGCTATCGGAGCGCTGTTCTCGTTTGTGTTCCACGTCGGCACAAAAGAACCTGCATCAGCCAGCGAGACGGAGAACCCGCTGATCCAGCCTCCTTCATCGCAGGAAGAAGCTTTTCCTCGTCCTGTGTTTCAGTGGAAACACTGGCTGAAGGAACCGTCCTTCTACCAGGTAACTCCTACATCTGTACTGGAAACTTTCTGCTTTCTCATAAAGGTTCTTTTTCTTTTAGCTCGTAGGGAAATCCCTCGTAGCCTTGGTGTAACTACTAAATGGTCACTGGACGGCTTCCTAGTTTGCCTCATGTTCGTTTATTATTATTAATTACCCACACAGAGGTCAGTGAGCTGCCATACCAGGTGTTGGACCGACCATCAGGAGCAACCTGGGGTTCAGTCTGAACTTGAGAAAACGAGGAGCAGTAATTCACATTTTGAACCATCTGAATAACAGATGAGCTGCAGGGTGGCTCAGTGGTTAGCACTGTTGCCTCTATCTGTGATAGACTGGTTACCTGTCCAGGTGAACCTGCCTTCACCCTGAGTCAGCTGGGATAGACCCCAGCCCCCCACGACCCTAGTGAGGATTAAGATGTAGAGATGATGGATGGATGCTTTTACAGCACTGAGTACTGAGACACTAATGCACCTCAGCTGGCTCAGAATGATCAAATATTGTCTCAGCACGTTGCATCCTGTGTTTTAGTTTAGGTGAAGATCCTTTACAGCTTCTCGGTGTGGAGACGCTGACGATATGACACATTTAGAAGAGAACTGGTTTGGTATATAAAGTGTTTAGGTAAAGCTGATGTGAAGCTAATAACTGCAACCTTTAAATCTCGTGTCCTGCTTTCCTACCAGGTGGCTTTTCTCTACATGTGCACCAGACTGATCGCCAACTTGTCTCAGGCCTACATCTCCGTTTTCCTCACCACCTCCCTCATGTTACCAAAGGTACGGCTGCTCAGGCTTCTGTGACCCGTTGCTCTGTTTGAGTTTTAATTTAATGCTGGCGTCACTCCTCTCTCCTCAGAACTTCATCGCCGTCATTCCTCTGGTGATGTACGTCAGCGGCTTTGTGTGTTCGCTGCTCCTTAAGCCAGTCAGCAGGCTCATAGGCATCAGTGTGAGTGGCTGCTTCTTGCTTTAGTGTCCAGCCAGAGTCTAACATGAAGCACTGGATTGTTGGTGATAAATGTTTCTCTATTTCATGTGAGTCTCGACTGTGTATAATTAAAGCAGTTAATATAACCAGAGGGAGACTAAAGCTCTGGTTGGTCAGCTCAGTGAGTCCAGTAACACTGAAATAAACACGAGGCCGTTTATTTAAAATCAGTAATGAATGGACGTATGCTCCTTTGAGCTTCTAATTAATGTTTTTTTCTTCTATTTTGGTTTTTGTTGCATTTTTACTTGTCGTTTGTCCTTTTTTTGTTTTTTTCTGTCAGATTTATTTCTATTTATATGACGTAACTTCTTGTACTAATTAAATGGGACATTTACACGTGTGTCAAAGATAATAAAAAAATGAGCAAGCGAGCCTTTTTTAGGAATGTGGATGTGAGAATAGCTGCAATTTTTATCTTTCTGTATTTAAAAAAAAGCTAATTTTTGTTTCCTCCGTGTGATGGTTAGCACATGTATGAAGCTGCAGCTGTTCATATGAACTCTGTGATCATGTTAGAAACTTCCCTGAAATGGACTGTATGTGTTTGTTGTCAGATGACCTATTTGGTCGGCCTGCTGCTGGTGCTCGGCTTCGCCGTTTGGGTGTTTGTGGATGTTAAAATGGGAACAGAGAGCATCTACGCAGCAGCAGTGCTGCTGGGAGCCGGTTCGGCTGCCATCCTGGTCATGTCTCTGTCCATGACAGCCATGCTGATCGGGGAGCAGACGGTAAGTGGAGGGGAACGAACCTACAACACTTTCACAGCTCTGAAGGAGAGGTGTTGTACGGAGGGATTTAAAGGATGAAGCTGACCATATTCTTATTCATTGCCTTTTGAACATATAATCCCAAAAACCACATGCAAATCACACTTCAAGCTGATATTTGGTGGTGAGAGAGAAGATGCAGTTGCTGATTTAATCCAAACTTTTTAACCTCTTCCGCTCCATTTTAGACCAAAAACAACGACCGTGCTGTAAAATAAAATGCCTGCAGCTCCTAAACCACACTGAGACAAACAAGATCAGTCAGAAAGGAAACCTCCTGAAGTTTCTGATGAAAACGTCAGAAACAATTTATGTGATTAAAAAAAAACCCAGAGCAGCAGATACATGACGCTGTATGTGGCTTATTTTTATCACAAGGCAGAAAACAAACAACTGCCTTTGTTGTTTTGAATGTCACATCAGAATCAGCCGTCCGCTCACAGCAACCTGAGGAGTGAGTATAACGGCTGTATTAGTGTGGGCTGTAACACTGACATCATCAAACCAGTCAGTTCATTCTGGTGAAACTGGGACAGCGTCTTTTAAAGGATGCTCTGGTGAAGCCGTGAGCTGAGGAATCAAAGGGAAGATCACAGCACATGGAGCTGCTGTCACACGTCTTTCATATCCGTCTTTCTTCACTGACATCGTCTGAACAGAGATGAATGAATGAAAACGGCAGACGAATGTTCACAGAGGATCTTCTGTGTCTCATTCACAGAAAACGCTGCAAATAACTGAGTGGGCTTTTCAGATAGATTTCATTCTGTTGTGCTTCTCTGCAGGGACTCATACAGTCTTTGTCTTGTTTGGCAGCAAAGTGGAGCTTTTGTTTATGGATCGATGAGCCTCACAGACAAGGTGGCTAATGGTGTGGGGGTCATCCTCATCCAGAGCATCCGGCCGTCCAGGTGAGTCCCTCTCAGGTGGACCCCTCACAGTCCTCTGGCTCTAAAACAGTGGAAGCTGTCAGGACGGAGCATAAACAACCACAAAAATCTGTCTGGGTTTCCCCAAGTTGTTTTCCACGCGCCCTTGCCCATGGAGTAAATTTAATTCATTTCTGACTTTTTTATTTCAATGTTGTGCTTGAGGCCCCTTAATACAAAGGCTCTTTTTATGTTTTACGAGCAGTTCAGTTTAAAACACTGTTTTCTGCTTTAAGAGAGGCCTGAAGAGTCAAAAAAGCCGTTTTACACAAAAACAGAATTAAAGATAAAAATGTCTGTTCAGATTTCTTGGATTGTAATGTTTCTGGGGCATTTTCAAGAAAGAACAAAGACTTGGTTTTAAATCTCTGTTCCACATCAGAAATATAACTCTGCTGCTTTAATATCATTATTAGATGAGATTAAACAGCTCTGTGGAGCAGCTACTGTCACTAAACCAGATGAAAATGTACCTTCATATAGCCACAATCCTGCACATTCAGTTAGCCCAAAATCTCAGTAAACATTTAAAACACACAACTTTAAAGGTGCAATATGCAAAATGTTAAATAGCAGGAAGCTGCTGTCTGTTGTGTGGAGCCATCGTGGCGTCATGGTGCAGAGAATGAACTTCGTCTGTGGGTTTTATAATCAGAGCTTCAGAGTTCTGGTAGCAGGTCCGGTCACATGTTTTTAAGTTCTTCCCTTTGAAACTGTTGCTCATCCTGCTTTATAAAGAGACAGACAGTGACGTTCTGTCTGTTAAAACAAGCGCTACTTTAGCTGCTTTATGTGCATATTTTAGCTCAGGGTGAGTCTGTTTGTGTAGCTTTCCTCTGTGATGTCTGCTCCAGTCTTTGTGTGTCGGTTTCTCCGTGATTCATTGGACTGGATTGGTGGCTCACATTTACACATCTTTGGTTGTAAATGAAAGTGAACTGAGAGGAGAAGTCTGGCCGATGTGCCCATCTGTTTTGGTCTGAGATGCTGGATGTTATCCAGTCAGTCTGATGCTGAGTCCTGTACCTTCAACCCTGTTCAGGATTTTCATGTTGCCATATGTAGAAGGTCTTTGGCTCCAAATGGCCTGGGGTCCAAAAGACCCCAAACACCTTGAATAGGGTTAAATTTTAACTAAAGCGTCCCTTGGCTTTATGCACGATATGCAAAAGAGACAAGTCAACTCAGAAAACCCTTGAAATGCCCACCCAGCACTGTGACTCTCCAGGAGAGCAGAAAACTGTGCTTCTGTACCACACAGGCAGGGCAGCTGGGTCTGATCAGCTCACTGACCGTTCCTTCACTAGCTAACGAAGCAGACCAGAGCCTTTGGACGGCAAACGTGTACCTCGTCACAGACGGAAAAGCCCAAACAATGTCCTAGTAAGCCATGACAGTGAACCAGCGTGCACAACAACAGAATACAGCCATCATTAACACATCTGTTCTGTCCCTCCTGTGACACGTCAAACATCACCTGTAGAACCAGTCCAGCCAGTTCCAACACCAAAAACAGACAAATGGAGTTGTTGTATTTACAACCTGGACGATCGGTTTCACAGGTTGAAGCCACTGCCTTTGAAGTTAAGGGCGACTATTTATTCTCTTGTCATCACTGAATGCTCGTGTGGTCAGAGCCGGCCGTGTCTTATTCTGTGTCCTGTACTTTATTCTGAGTCAGGGTCACATGCACTGACTGCTGAAAACAGTTTCCAGCAAATGTACTATTTACTCCTGCTTGATTAATGTTTGCCAAAAGCTACAGTGGCCAGCAGCTTTAAAAAAAAAAAATGCAGACCAAGCTCACCCTGGGGAGGATAACGGACCAACCACAATGCAGAAACTGCTGAGGAGAGACCAAGAAACCTGACAAAGAGCTCCAAGTGTCGACTCAGACCCCGAACTGATGGAGCATCTGTGAGATGAGCTGCTCTCTAAACAACAACCATAAAGCTCAACAGAATAAAGACTATAAATGAATCATCTTTTTGAGTTGTGACAACTTGTCATGAAATTGTGTTTAACTTTAGTTTACTTTATTGTGTTTAAAACTGCACTGATTTAGGGGAATTAACGTTTCCTCTACAATCAATGGTATCATAAATTACCACCGACTTAATGATTGAAACAAGTTTTTATGTTGAATACTCAAAAATACTAGAAAACACTGAGATTAAGTTGGTCCCAGGAGTATTACCACATTACCTAAAAGTAATTTTAAGTGTAATTTACTTTATTACCATAATTATGAGCACAAGCTTTTGAAATGGCAAAAAGAAAAAAAAATGTCTGGTGAGGACACCCGGGATCTTTCTGCATGGAGTCTCCATGTTCTCCCCGTGCAGCGTGGGTTCTCTCTGGGTTGTCCGGCTTCCTCCCACAGTTCAGAAACATGCTGAGGTCAATTGGTGATTGTAAATTGTTTGTAGGTGTGAATGGATGGATGAGTTCAAATTATACACAATATTAAGGTAACACAATAACCAACATTACGATGTCAACCCAACCAAAACAACCATAAAATAAAATAACAGCTAAAACAATGTTTGCAACTTAAATAATTTATCTAAATCAGAAAATAATATACTTGCTTTATTTGCAAACATGCACGTAATTGGATGTAAGTAGGTTAATTGAATAAGTTTTCAGTTTGCAGTTGTATTTATTTATTTATTTATTCCTGTATTTTGCTATTCATTGACACTTGAGTCATTTCCTTCCTCCATCCAGCTGACCTCCAAGGCAGCTGGATGCCAGTGACACCAGCAGGCAGATAAACTAACCTTTGGTCCAATTTGTCGACAATAAGAAACACACGGAGTGATCACAGCCTTTTCCTTTAACTTCTGCCTGTTTAAATGCCGTTTTCTCCTTTTACTGCTCACATTTGACCTTTCACGTTTCTACCACCGCTGCTCTTTAACACAGGTTGTCCCCTTTTTCTTTTCTCCTCCACAGCACAGACCCATGCTGCCCAGCTTGGTTTTATCGTGACGTCATGGCTACGGTAACCGGGGGCGTTGCCGTGGTCGCAGCACTTTGCCTGTTCACCATCCTCATCTGGCCAATCAGAACGCGGAACAATTAGTGTCCAAACTCTACACTGCAGTCGGTGATAGTGTCTCATATGCAAAGAAAAACTGCTTCAGGGGTTTGATCACCTCCATCATGAGGTCAGGATCAGGTGTTTCAGATTTAAGTTCTTTTTTTGTTTTTGCTGTTTTATGCTCAAGCACACAATGAAAACATCAGCTGGATGCACTGCATTTAAGCTCCATGAGGCTCATTACCATATGAATACATTTAGACAGTTGAGACTTTTTAAAAGAATTCTGTTAATTGTAGAGATTATGAAGCCATGCTGCCATCTAGTGCATGAGTGTGTAACTACACTGCTCTCCTGGAGGAGCTGCTGAAGCTGAGAGTTGTCCTGTATTACACACATATAACTGGGGACTGAGCTTACAATTCTCCTCGTCATTTAGATATTTAAGCATTTAAAAACACACCAGCTTGTGGATGCTACATATAAAAGTATTTCATAAAGTCGTACAGCGTTAGGCAGTGGAGGTAAACTGTGAATGCTTCATGTGTAGTTTTCATTCTTCGTTTGACTCACTGAAGGTTTAAAATGATTGAAACCAAAGAAACAAAACGTTGTTTTCCACCTCTGCTCTGTGCTGTGAAAGCCAAAGATTTTACTTGACCTGGCAGCAACTGTGGCGCCGATCCAAGGAAGTGAACTGGGTGAACTTGACTCTGTGTGTGTGTGTGTGTGTGTGTGTGTGTGTGTGTGTGTGTGTGTGTGTGTTTCAGACAGTTAACACTTTCCTCACTATTTGTTTGCCTGCTATGATCATATGCGATGTAAAAAACTAATGTTCCAAAAAGCCAAACATCGGTTGATTGCTTGTATAAACAGAGAACAAAACGCTGAAGTAACGACAGACTGAGTCCTGAGATTTCCAGAGAAAAAAAAAAACTCTCAATATCGTTTGCTAACGGTAATAGTTCCTGTCATGTTCCTGTCCAGCTTAAAATCATGTGATGTTCAGACGTTGTGTTCCACATTTTGTCTGTTCTGAACATCTGTCTGTTTCTGCAAATGCTATAACACACACCTATATGATCCTAAAGTTTGAGTCATTGGTGCTTACTGGTCTTCTGTGAGCTTTTCGATCACGTGTGTCCCTTCACATTAGATTAATCTGCATCAGGCAGCTTTACAGTTTAACAACAAGATGTGTGCACTGAGGAAATAACGTGAACATTTTAAGGATCTAAGTACAATAATCAACTAACTCACTGAGCACTAAGATGAATCAAGTTGTTCTTGCAATGAAGATAAAAATCTGACCACAGTTAAACCATCATGTGTGTCCTGATTCCTTTTTATTGAGGCCTTGGTTTGCTGCAATTTAACCAAAAGTTTGTGTTTCAGTCCTAAGCTTTGATTTGACATTGTTACGTCTATGTGCTGATGATATCAGTCTGATTTAACTTTTATTTGTTTCTGTGCAGTCTATTTATTTATTTATTTTGAAAATTTATTTAAGAAAGTAGATCTAGTTCTGGCAAAAAAGTCCTTGCTTGATAGAGCTGCTGACTCTAAACAGAAGGATGTACAGTGTCCTGATATGAAGGAATGCAAAAGGTGTCATACATAAAGCAAAAAATGACAAATTACAACGTAAATAAAAAATAACAGACGAGAGAGAAACAAAAGCAGGATTTTGAACCACTGAGAGCAAGAGAACGGCTCAGCAAAATAACAGTAAATGAATCAATCAAATAAATAAATAAATAAATATTTTAAGAATGCAGAAATAAGTAAACAAGTTACTTTGATTAAAATATCGTCAGTGATATTAGTTGTGTGAGCCTTTAAATGAATTTAACAAGCCTTGAAAAGTGACCGTACGCCCCAAAATGAGTCATTTAAAGGGATTTCTCATTAAATTTGACAGATTGTAGAACATGCATCCTTTGTAAAAACATCCAACTTAATTAAAGAGGAACTGAATAATAAAGAGTACTTGTTGACATCAAGATTTCTTGACAAAAACAAACAAACAAACAAACAGAATAAGGCCAGACATCCTTTACATCATTACTCTGTATGACATGACCAAAAATAGAAAAAAGATGGGACTGATTCATCTTTGAATGCAAGTTTCAGACCGTAGAAAAACATTTATACTTTAAACAATACAGCAACATGTTTGGTCCATTTAACCAGCAGAGAGTTTTAGCTGTAATTCTCTCTCCTGGCTTCTTGAAAAACTCTTTTCTGTCACATTTTTTCACCTTTAACTCTGTTCAGGACTTTCATGGTGCCACACCTAGAAGGTCTTTTGGGGTCCATTGGATCCCAAGTAAGAAAATGTGCAAAATATTTGTAGGTGTTCATTATCGACTTTTATATTGTGTTTATTTTGTGTTATTTTTGTCTTGTATTGTATTTTTCCTGATAAGTTATTTTTGGTTCCAAATGCAAGACAAATGTCCCTCTTTTTATGTTAACAAAAAAAATCTTCAAAAAAAACAACACCTGTCACCTAAACCAAATGGCCTGGGGTCCAAAAGAGCCCAGAAGTCCTGCACAGGGTTAAATATTAAGAGTCTTGTGGTCTCAGTTCAACTTCTCTTACCTGCGGTTTAAGAACTATATTTCCTTGCGGAAGATCATGTTTGCGATGCTAGTTTTAACTTACTGGCTATCTACTGTTTACCACTACGTGTCTTATCACTTCTGCACAAAATGTAACTGTTAACTGATTTTAGCTGAATCGTGTCTTTCTTACGACGCCTCTGCCCGGTACGAGGACAGAAAGCCTGACCTCTGTCGGTGGCTCGGCGGCGGTGTGCTGCGGCGGCCGGATCACCGCGGACAGGCGGGACAAAGCGCTTGTTGAGAGGGACCGTTGTGTGAGAGAGTCCGCTCCGGGACGAGCTGCTGCAAAACCCAGAAAAACACTCTCAAAGTCAGCCTCAGACAAAGAGGCTCACTCGAACACCAGCTCAGAAACACGGTGATATTCTGACGGAGTCCCTAAACCGCCTCCAACTTTGAGAGGAAGGAGAGTTGTGACAGGAAACACGGACCTTTGGTCAAGTTTTATTCCCCCGCAGCGATCCTCAGGTAAGAGAGCCGTAAGGTGCATGAAGGCGCCTTTAACGGCACATTGTCAAGCTTTTCCGATAAAATACTGAGCTGAACTTGCATTAATATTGTTATGAAGTTGTTTCAAGTCGTTGTTATGACTAAAAGCGTCTCATTTATGTGTAAGTTACCGTTAGAGTAGTAACTTGGACAGGTGGCTCCCCGGGCGGTCACTAGCTAGCAGCATCTCACCGTTAGCTTCACTCTTCATCATACAGACATAAACGACTTTTATCAGAAGTCTGCTGGGACAACACAGCCAAAACCACAGGAGGAAAAATCCCCAGAACCTCTGTAACCTTTACATAAAGCATAAAACCCTGTTGAATTAATTAATTAATTGTTAATTACAATAAATGTAAAGCATCAACAGCAGCCTGATGGTTAATAATCACAGCCCGCCGTCACTGTGGTGTTTCTGGTGGAGGTGTGAAATGTGTGTGCTCTCAGATGATGTATGTAAACACAAGTGAAGCAGTTAAACACACACTACATCATCTATAAGTGTGACTCATGTGTATGTGGCACTTCTATAGTTAGAAAAACACTGAGTGGCTTATGTACAGTGGTGTTGACTGACTATCATGTCACCTGTAAGTGCTGATTCTTTGTTTTTGGACTACAGACTAACAGCTGGTGTAAATGCAGATTAATTACACTTAGGTGCCACTTCATTACCTATTTAATGCTGTTCAACGCCTGTGTTTATTAAAGGGGTCAGTTTTTGGTGATCTGCAGTTTGTGGTTTCGTCTTGAGCGGATCAAACAGCCACAGCTAACTTCTATCTTCATCATTTCACCTGCTGACTGTTCCTGCTCTACAGCCCCACACGGCTCTCCAACATAAACTTCACACATTCTCAGTTTGTTGTGCGTTAGTTTAACATACTGAGAATATTTGCCTGTCAGCCTATGGTTTTGTGTTTTCCTGGTCCAGGAGATTTTTCAGTGGGTTGTTTTTGGGCAGGAAGTCTTGGCCGACCCCTGTGCGTATGCCAGTGGGTCCCGGCCCACATCGGGCAGGGGCCTAATTGTTTTTGACAGATGTAAGACATGTGACTGTATAACTGGAATTCCATCATCAGCAGCAGATGATAGAGTCTCTGTGTTGCAGTGGAGCCCAGCGTGCTGCTGGTGGGTGTATGACCTGACCTGTGACTGTGGTCCAAACACTGTGCTTTCTGCTCGGCTCAAAAACGAGATGTGTGAGACAAACACCACTATACTACCACTACTACTACCACTACTACTACTACTACTACTACTACTACTACTACTACTGCTACTACCACTGTTGCTAATGCCACTCCTAGTACTGCTGCTATATGACAGGAGTAAAAAGTGCACTACTCTGTATTCAGGCAGTTTGCTGTTAAACGAAGGGTCTCCTCTTAAGGAACAAATGCTCAAAATAAGTCACCACTTTTTATGGGCCACAACAGTCCTTCTTATCCATGTGCTAAGTCTTTGACTGAAACTGAAGATCATCAACATATATATTGCTAATTAAATTTTGTTTCACTATTTGTAATACTTGGGTCTGTAGCATTTAAACAAACTGTGGAAAATGCTCGTTGTACTTTTCTCCTAAATGCGATCAGATGTTTTGTTGTGCCTGACCGTCCAAAACTCACATATATTCAGTTTAATATAAGATTAAGGAAAGAACAAACATCAAAGACTTATTTTGATAAAAGTTTTCTTTCTTCATGAATGATTTTTTACTTCAGCTTATCATTTCTAAACTGCTCTGGTGATTTCTGCATAACAAAGATTAGTGCTACAGTTAAATGCTCACTTTAAAACCGACTTTAATAGATTAGGAAAAACCCAGTGTTTGAGCCTGAATAGTGGAATATTTAACAATGCTTTCAAGTCTTTCAGGGTAAAAGTCACAGTTGTGTGCGGTGACTCAGTTTAATTTAATTTCTTGGAAGGACCTTGAGCCTCAGATGATTTCCTGCCAGTAATTGATAGAATCAAATGCTGCGGCAGGAAATAAACTAGCGGGCAGCCTGTTGATCAACAGTCCAGGACACCTGAAACTGTTGTGCAGCACCAGCCCATCCACCTGTCCTCCCCTCTTTCTGCCTCCTGTCTGCCTCGCTCCACTCAGGACAGAGGAGCCCTTGTTTGATCCTCCCTGGACAGTGCCCCACTTTTCTTTCTTCTTTTTTTTTCCTTTACCCTGGCGCCATGGCAACACTGTTCCTGTGACGAGCAGCCTTGACTTTTGCCCCTCCTGCTCCCAAAACAAAGGCAAGGAGTTATGGAGGGACGGAGTGAAGGGGGAAGAGAGTTGAGGGACAGGGCAATTGTAAGGGGGATGAAGGACATGGAGGCTTGAGGGTGGGTGTAATGGGAAGGTGTCTGGGACGGAGGCTCTGAGGCGAGACCTCAGCCGCTGTGTGTGCCCGAGTCCCATAAAGACAGGAGAGTTATTAGACTGTGGGCAGCGCCAAAGACTGTATCTCTGTCTGTGTGTCTTAAATTCTGAATGGCCGCTGACTCCTTCACAATCCCACCTCGATGCCAGAATGGGCGCCGCACATAAATGTGATTAAAATCAGAACCGTGGTGCTGCAGAGTTCAGTGAAACGGCACCGTGCATAGAATCCTCGGTAATAAATAAATAAAGTTCTCAGTAAACGGTAGAAAAGTGTCACTGTCACACTTTCCAAGAGTCGAGGTGACATATTCAAATGTCTTTTGTTTAATCGTCTTATGGAAAATAACACTGTTAGACAAAGACATGGCGGACTTGAACTACGCAATGTGTGGCTTTAAAAAAAACAAAGATTTAATAGTGAATTGATAATCGAAATGGTTTCAAATTAGTTCTCAAGAGAATGCTTCAACCTGGAAGTGATTCTTTTTTAAATTCAGTATCTTCAGTTTTTGGTCAGTTATCAGTGGAATAATTTTAAGACTTTTTTTTCTCTATGTTCTGATATTTTAGAGACAAAACCCAAAAACTTAAATCAGTCAATAGCAAAAACATTTTTTGAATTGTTGTGGTGTTTCAGCAGATGATGTGATGTAGTCTGTTGCATGTATAACAGCATGTTGCGCTGAGCATTGTATTCACGCAAGATGGAGAGAACAGTTGGAAGTAAAATCAAAGAAAGACAAAAGCAGAAATCTGATTGTTATTGTTCTGTCTTTAACAGTAACTCCATCATGTTTACATGTAGCCCACACTCTCCCCGTAGAGCTCAGGGTTGAAGAATGGGCATTGTTCAGTCACATACACTGTGGCCTCGCATGTCCCTCTCTGTAAGATTTGTAGCAGAAAACAACATTTTTAGCTGAATGGCGGGATGTAAAATGTTCAAAGTCTGGAAATTGTGGGGGCAGGAGAGAGACTCCTACAGCCTGCGAAGAGGCAAAAAGGAAAGTATTGTTGTTTGGCTGCACTCCCTGTCCTGGTGCCGACATCTCCACGCTGATTCTGACTTAGCTGGTTCACAGACCTCAAAGCTAAGGCCATTCCTTTATCGGCTGTCATTTTTGCTAACGTAGGAAAGCAGATGTGTGGTCTAATTTGTGACATAATTGAGAAATATTCTGGTCTCAGTGAAGCTCAGTTATTCAACCTGACAGAAAGAGAAAATGGCACAAACAACTCCAAGCTGTACCCTCATAAATCACACTCCCTTAGAAATGGTAAAACATTTACGCTGTCCTGTTACTAAGCGTCATTACCAAAGACAGTCACGCCTAACTTTCCCATATCTGTCCATGCAGCATTACTCATATCAGTGCTGCTGAGAAACAGAGCTGGACAGTTCTTCCAAGCTGGTACAGGACACGTTGGTCTCTCCGTTATCCACAGACTCTTTTTGTTTTGGTGTTTCTTTTTACAGTTCTGGATATCTTTGAGTGATGTTTGATTACGACAGTCCACCGGTCTACAGCCCTCCATCCAACAATGGCTTTGGCCCTCCAGGCAGCTTCCATGGCCCTCAGAGTGACTACAACGCCTACCCACCTCCACCAGGATCCTACTACATTGAGGAGAAGCCGCAGCACTTCTACAAATGGCGTTCACCTCCTGGGATCATCAAGGCCATGATGGCCACAGTGATAGTGCTGTGTGTGGCCATCTTTGCCTGTGTGGCCTCCACCCTCATGTGGGACATGCAGTATGGATACGGCATGGGAACGGGCTACTACGGCTCCGGTATGGGCTACGGCAGCGGATACAGCGGAGGCAGCTATGGCGCAGGTTATGGTGGTTACGGTAGCTATGGAAACTACTACGGCTCCGGCTCCTACATTTCTCCTTACTCGGCCAAAACTGCCATGATTTCCATGGCAGCCATTAACTTTATAGGAGCGCTGGCCTTCTTCATTGCCAGTTTCTCGAAAACCCCCATAGTTCGCACCAGGAAGTTCTTTCTGGCTCTGCTGATAACCAGTATCATCATGGCTGTCCTGCAGGTAATACTCATTTGCATTTCAGTTCCACATTTATGTTGTTTCGCTGTACGTATTTCATCAATACTGTTGGTCAAATGTGCAAATAGTCGCGCAACATTTCCTGTTGAATCCCACAGTTTTGTTAAGATGTGTTTTTGCCGTGCTGTGTGTATAAGATTGTGCTTTAATAGCTTGTCATAACATGTGACAATGGATCAGTAATGCAAATATTACAGAAAACACAATAGTCTGAAGTACAAAGTGCGGCCGCTAAAGACACGCCCCCTCAGAAGGTGTGTGGAGCGAGACCTCGATTTCCAGTCCACCAGTTTCTAGAGTTTGTGTTTTATTGCCTGGAGTTAGTTGGGATGTGAGATGGGAACCACAAAATATTTGACTTCAGCAGCAAAACGCGAATGTAATGCAGCTAATATACATATATTACAAACTCAAACAATCTGTGTGCGTGTTATGTGTGACTCAGGTAAGCTAGAAAATGAACTTAAATTCAAGCTTTAATGTCTTTGCAGCAGTGATTTATGTGTATTGTCATGAATCTAAATTTCTTTTAGCTGTATGGCGATAATAAAACACGGAAGCAGTTTTGGCAAGGGAGTGGTTCTGTTACCTCGAGTCAGTATAAAGGCCACAGAGCTGATGAGAGGAGCAAAATGTCCAGAATGAGAAGTTTCTGTATGACATGATTTCTAAAATACTCACCTGCACTTGTATGCAGTTACTCATTGACTACCTAATGTGTACATTTCAACTTTTTGTTTTATTTTCTTGTTACACACACAAGGCTTCCACCTCACCAGCATTTAGAAAACACCAAATATTATTGTACATTTTCAATAGTCTGAGAAGCCATACAGAAACCTCTCAAATATTTTGTGGTTCTCATCTCACATCCCAGCTACCAACCCAAACTGTGAACGCCTGTCTCTGTTATGAGCGGCATTTAAATGTGCATGTTTTAGAAAACCCTAAATGCCAGAAGCATAATGTGAAGCAGGACTCTGTTTATCTCAGATCCCAGTGGTCTACTGGCTGAGCTGGTTAAGACACGTGCTCGTACACATCTCAGATCACAGCAGCATGTTTACACTGCTGAGCATATATGTATATTCATATAAATGAAAATGTAATCCAGTTTTCTTGCAGACTGGGGATGGAGAGTTCACTGATATCGAATATTAAAAGAGAGTTTTAGTCATACCAACTTTCTATAAGTTGACTGTAATCTCATGTTTCAGTCTTTAGTTCTCTGTTGCTTTTTACATCTTTAATTATCTCAGAAAAATAGGCTAAACCAGATTTTGCTCGAGCCTGCAGTGGTATTAGAGCTTCTTTTATTTTCAATAACTGTTGTTAGATTCCAGACAGAAAGTTTTGTGACTCCAAGCGCCCATAAAATGTTGCTGTGTTTGTCTGATTCCAGCTAATTGTTAAGCTCCAATGAGGCAGATTAGAGAACACTGAGAGGCATTAGAGGTTTGTTAGCCCGGTGTAGAAGTTGTCTCCTTCTTGTAACGTACCCTTTGCCCTTACAGTATGTTCAGTACAGTGTGATTAGTGCTGAATGTATATCTGGTGGTGTGTTCTTAGTCATATTTGAATTGGATTTTCAGGAGTACTTCTGCAGATCTCTTTCTGTGATCAACTAACAGATGTTTTAGTTATAAATATGAATATACCTGTGTGCCATTGTACTAATTCTGCGTCTTTTTCAGGGCATCATAAGCATCGTCTACATTGTCGGTGTGAACCCAATGGCCCAGAGCTCCTCCAGTATGATGTACAATCCAATGCTCATGATGTGCCAGAGCCTCTACCAGACCCACTACTCCCAGATGGGAGGAGTGGGAGGCTTCCCCATGTACAACCAGTACCTGTACCATTACTGCTTTGTGGACCCACAGGAGGTCTGTAGCTTTCTTTGTTGGTGTGGAATTGTTGGATTTGTTCAGTTTCCAGTGTTATTTCATGTATATCTGGATGAGTGGTGAAGGCCCCCAAAAGTAGTGAGTCCCCATTAACAACAATTATAAAACCAACATGTCTGCTGTGTAGATTAGACAAAAAGAAAACATAAGATCCTGACAGTTTCAAAACTGCTGAAAGAAAATATTTGACATTCTGTTAAATGTCATATATGATATGTTTCCTGTCAAATTACTGATGTGGCTTATTTGGTATTGATTCACAGCTACAATGATTGTACAGTTATTAGTGTCTTACGTGTTTTAGAAGTTTGTGCAACATTAGACAAAACGTTAGACCAGGGATCTCCAGCTCCGTTCCTCATGTGCTATTGTCCTGCAGGTTTTAGAGGTTTCCGTGCTGCAACACACCTGACTCAAATGAATGGATCTCCAACAGCTTGTTGTCAAGTTCTACACAAGTCTATTAAGGAGCCATTAATGTGAGTCAGGTGTGTTGCAGTACAGAAACGTCTCAAACCTGCAGGACAGTAGCTCACAAAGATGGGAGTTGGAGATCTCGGCATTAAACTACAGACACATAATATATTCTAGCTTGTCATATTGTCTGTCCCATTTTGTTTTGTGATGTGTTTCAGGAAGCATTTGCTGCACTTACATACAAACTGTGGTGTATTTCTCGTAATCATTCCACAGATGTGTATTTGTGTGCTTCATGTACCGACTTTATCTCAGAGCTTGTCTCCTTGACAATTCGCCACATTTCATGCTCATGTTCTTGCTTTTTCAGGGAATCGCCATGGCGTGTGGATTCCTGGTTGTCATTGCCTTTTGTGTTGCTGCTTTTTTTGCACACAAAACAAGAGGGAAGATCTGGCGCTACGGAAAACCCAACATCTACTGGGAGGAGCCTCTCGTTGGTGGGAAGGCCTCAGAGGGCAGAGATGTCGAGGAATGGGTAAGAGACAGCAGGACGGTAGACACAGTTTAATAAGACTGGGTTTACATGGGATTAAAAACAAAAAAAACAGCATCACATTTTGACCCCGGCTGACCTGGAGGTTTTGCATGCACAGCTTGCAGTCAAATGAATAGGATCACACAGAGTTTAAATCCAGCCTACGGATGGAGTACAATGACAGATTTTATTAGATGATTAAATGCTCAGCTTCAGTGGTTTTTCTGCGTAGAGAATTCAGCCACCAAATGGAATCTTGTTTTCCACCAATGTTCATTACATTCCATGTAAAGTCAGCGAGCTGGTAGGTCATCGGTGATGTAGTCGTCTGACTGCTCAGGTAGTCATCAGGTACATAACAGGTGGGCAATTGTGGTGATGCAGGTGCAGTAAATAGCCGAGCTGAGCTTTGCACATTCCTGCGGTCGGTCTGTCACCTGTTCTGCTATTTTTAACATCTAACTTCGCTGCATGTCCAGAGAGACTTTGTAATGCTGAATGCATGAGTCTTGTGTTTTCATTGCTCGTCTTTATAAGTTGAAAGTCCAAGAGGAACTTCATATAGAGACATTTATTCGTTTATAGGATCCAGTTGGGAAGCAGTCATGCTACCGTAAAACAGTTTCCTCTGACTGAGTCACTTTGTTCAGGGTCAGGGCTGATAGCGGCCAGTGATTGTTTGCTCATGGGCTACGACCTGGTTTCACTCTGAGTAATCATTAACCACCTGAGAAGATAGTGAGCAGCCAGGTGGTTTCTGGAGAGCCTGCCTTCAAGCTGTTTAAATGTCAACAACATGCCCCTTATACAGGACTGTTCGCTGTGATGTGAGTTGATAATTGACTTGACGTGACACGTTTCAAATGATGCCTGTTTCATGCAGTGAATCACAAAGAGTAACAGTGTGGTAACATACATAGAACATTTATAGAATATTTTATTTCTGTTCGCTGTAGTACCTACACCCAATGGTGCATCCACCCAAATAACAACTGGCCACATTCTGTGTCCGTACAAACAATGTCAAGACCAGAAATCATTAAAAGCAGATAGAGTAAATACAGTACGTACAAACCTGAAGTGAGAGATGTAAGAAATTGATATAAAGCAACATAGAGCAAAGTGTCTTTAAATAAATAACTAAACTTAAATGATAAATAAATAAAACAATAATGTAACATGACTAAATACTGCTAGCTTACCACGTACCCTCAAATCCCCACATCGCTTTAACTTATTTTCAATGTGGTGAACCTTATAAACCAAAGGTATTTACAGAGTGTGCTTATTGTTTATGTGCTGTCATAAATCTGTAAAGTTTCGAGAAAATGTTCTTGTGTAACAGTGGATCTCTTTCAAAGACTGAAAATACCAGAAAAAAAAGCACTTAACAGACGTGTTGTTATATTGGATTATATAGAGCTGTTTGTTTTTCAGAGAGGTTGCTTCGAGCATGGCATCATGCACACAGAGGCGCACAGGCCGAGCAGAGTAAATGAGACACGCTCAAACTGAATCCTATGACTAGCACTAGTGTCTGATAATGGAGCCATGCTCACTGATGTCATCAGACACATCGGAGGTACAGTAATGAAGTCGGCAGTACCTCTCAGCTTAAACGTTTTTCATTGACATGCTGCTGTACCAGATGCATGTTTAGTGTTTCACAAGTTTGGGAAAAAAGCAAAGAGTTTTTGATAAAGATGAATCTTAGACGATTTGATGATCATTGCTGACAAACAATTATTTATTCATAGTTTAAAACATATGCTAACATAGTTTCAAACAGAAACTACAGCATGCAGATGGCGTAACACTTGATTCTGCTGCCTGAAGACTGTGTTCTATACAAAACTGTGTCAGTCAAAGTGTACCCTTATCATTTAGTGATACTGACTGCACTATGCCCAACACACATATTTTATCTTTATGTCTTTGGTTCCATCTGTCCTCATTTCCTCAGTTTCAGCTTCCATACTGCAGGAGTGTATCTCCTTTGTTGGTGCCCTACCTGCATATCTGTGCCACAAAATGAGTCATCAGGCTGGTCTGGTTAATTTAAACACTGGGCCACTGATAGTCAGTGGCTGTGGTTGGTTTGAGTTTGGACCCATCTCTGTTGCCGAGCTCGGGGAGGCCTGGCTCGCTCTGATGACCTCACACACAGGCTGCATTCAGCTCGCCCAGGGGGGCTGCATTGTGTCTGCTGCATGAGGTCACCGGAGCTGGTTTCTGCTGGGCTGTCTGTGTGCTGGAACCACTGAAGTGCTGCACAGATGGAGAGTGAAAGCATCCTGAACTGGCTTCGTAGATTAAAACATGCAAACAATGAGTGGATGTGGTTTGACGCAGCAGTACAACGTGATTACACGTGGCCGAACATGGACATAACCAATTGATATAACAGTATAGTAAAAAATGTAGGACAGCTATAGAGAGCAAAGAATTATTTCTGCCACATAAATGAGCAAAACATCTGGTAGAAAAAGATCCAACACACCATTGATGTTGTGATTTTTTTGTTCACAAAATAAATTCAGCTGTTTATTGGCTATGTAGTCCTAAACAAAAAGAATTGTAAAATAACTTCAGAACTCTTGGGTTCTTTCTTTTTAAACCAGGCATTTAGAGGTAAGACGAGTTCCAGGTAAACTCTGGATTCCTGCTCAGCTGCAGTTGGTCTCATGTGGTGGCTGCTGCTGTCGTTACAGACGCTGCAGACTCTCAGTTTAGTTTATGCAGCTTGTTAAAACATCAGAGGTGACAAATATTAATGAAAGTTTGTTTCCTGGGATTTGAAATAAGGATTCTTTAAAATAATTTAATTTCAATGTGAGCTCAGTCAGTGTTCACTGCAACATTCACAGCATTACTGCTGCTGATATAACTTCATGTAAAAACTAGTTTTGCAGCTCAAGCATTGTAATCTTTGGTATGTCTGTGATTAATGGTGTTTTGTAGTTTGTCAAGGAGATACTGGACAACTTAAATACAGGAAATGTATTTTCTTTTTCACTTGAACTGGGATTCAGTTTTTCTTTGTCGCCTCGTCCTTGATTCCTGCCTCGCTGCGTCATGACGACGTTTCATCGCCACCGCTCTGCTGCTCCTTTTATCACATCTACCCTTGTCTCAGAGCCTTTTACATGTCTCTCCATCTTGGCCTGCTGGCTTTGCTTCACCAGGTCCAGGACTCTCAGGCATTCTTACTGTGCTTACATACTCTGCTCACAGCCCAGTAGCCGCTGTGCTGCACACTGAGAGGGCATTGTTGGGATTCTTCCATGAACTACTCTCTTCAAACAGGATTCTCCTGCAGCTGCAAGAAGGGCAGCTCTCCCCCAGCTCAGCACTCCACCCATCATGATTATTGTTTTTTGGGGGCCGTGCTGATGTTTGCTTCTGCCTCCACACTGGGAGGAATTTAGGGAATTGTGCTGTAAGGTACCACCCTAGAAAGCAGGAGAGTTTATATAACTACTAGAGTAAGTAAGTAGTAAACAAGTAGTCATTTTCTACGTAGTAAGTTCTTGCAAAGTAGCCCAGTTTTTGCTAACATAAAGCTGGGCTAACCTTCCAGGTGACAGAAAAAATAGGAACCTCTTCAATTTTAGACACACCACTTTGTGTAGAGGTCCTCTGAAAGGCGTCTAATCATTGATAAACTTGTGGGACGAGGCAGAGACCAAGCCTGAGGCCTTCGTTGTGAAGAATTCTATCAAGCTGACTCTCTGACCTCACAGGAAGGACTCGGCGATACAGATTAAAGTAAATGTTTTACATGGGGGACTCCTGTTGTTTGGAGACAGAAAGGAGGAGCAGATCCGTTCCAGGTGTTCACCAAGACATTAGACAGTAGAAAGAAATGAAAGCAAAGCTGGAATCATTGTCCGTTACTTTGTGTGTATGTAATGACTTGCTGTATGATTTTAGGTTGTAAGGTTATCAGAAACAGGCTCAAAATACAGGCAAACTTCCTGTAGACAAGGAACCATCAACGGTATTAAATTACAGTAACAACAGCGATTCATTCTATTCAGGGTTAGTTTGTTTTTTATAATTAACCCATAGCCCCTCTTTGTTTTTGTTCTCTCGACCTTTTCAAGCACTGGGAACCGAACCCCTCATTTGATTGAGTGGCTGGATTGTGATGTCCAATTTCATGCCCGACTGCTCACTCAAACTTTAAGCACTAATTATCATACTTTAGTGTCTGTCTCTTGTCTCCTTTAGAAGCCGATTCTCCAGGCTACTGCTGCCCAGTATGCCTTTTCACGTAAATGTTTTAAAACTGTTGCTCAGACTGATGTTGATAGAAGAGTATAAAAGTGCCAATAGATTATATAATGTGTTCGTTCAACATAGGAAAACCAGAAGAGTAATGGTTTCTTAAACAGGATAATAGTCGGAAAATGAGCCTGTGGGGTGATCTGGTCTTTGTGAGCGTTTCACTTGTTTGTTTGTATTTGCTGAGCGTGTTCCTTTTGTTTTTTCCTGCCTGCTGTAGGTGAACAATGTGGAGGAAAGCCGCAGCGTTCAGGATGCCCCTACCCTGCTGGTGTCAGAGAAGGGAGGCGGGCTGCTCAACGCCTCGGCTAACAGTGTCATCTCCTACCCCCCAGCCAAGGTGGACAGCAGCTCCTACAACGAGGACGCCTACGGCAACAACGAGTAAGTGGCTGTTTTCTCAGACCCTTTTCTGTTTGGAAGATATTACAGCAAAATGAGGCCACATACAACACAACTTTGAAGAAACAGTCGTCACAAATGTACATGTACATACATACATCTTCTTTTCCGCTTATTCTATATCTTTGCAATTACTGAAATTTATTCGTTTTGTTTCATGCAAATAATCCACTTTTCCCAGTCTCTCCCAGGTAGGTCAGTGTTCTCAGCCCCGTTTGAACCCACAGTCCCATGAAGCACATTTATTTTGATGGAATGTCTCTAAACACGTTCTTAAATCACAGCGAGGAGGAAGCGATGATACCACTCTGTTAGCTCTATCAGCGAGGTCATGCAGTTGCCCTAAATCACGTTTGATTGGATTAGTCATCAAAACACTTCGTTGTTAGACAGGAAGAGAAAAAAAACCCATCATAATAAAAATGTTTGTCACAATCTTTTGACATATATTTATATATTAGGAGCTAACTGGCACAAAGATACAGGATTAGTTTTTGCTTTTTTTAAAAATCATTCTTATGTTACTATCATATATTATTACTATATTCTTGTCAGCTTCCTTCTACTTGGAGAGATATGTGGAAAATCCACAAGCAGAAAACTGATTTTTTGAAAGTAGCTGCACCATTTGTGTTCTATAAAGCAAGGCCCAAAATGAATCAGCTTCAAAACATGTGACTCACACAAGCAATATCTAATCACCAGTCCGTTTTAAAGCCCATGAAAACATATTGCCCTACCCACACAAGAGAACAGTGCGTGTGACCTTTGAGCCGTCGCTGGATTAAGTTTTTTTGTGTGTTTTTTTTTCCTTGTGTTCATTGAATTCTCTGAGGAGGAGAAAAGGCAGGATGTTTACGAACTTACGTGTTTGCTTTTCATCGAATCTGGGAACTGTTTCTGAAGCACCTTATTTTTGTTTGTTTTAGTTCCTACACGACTGCAATGTGTGTGATTAGAAAAACGGTCACGGGCCGTCGCTTCAGCTCACCTGGTTGAGCTGGCGACCCAAGAGCAGGGGCTGTAGTCCCCGATGCAGCAGCCATGGGTTCAAATCCTGCTCATGGCCCTTTGCTGCAACCCACTCGCCCAATTCCCTGTCTCTCCTTTGACTATCCTAACTAATAAAGGCCAAAAGAATAACTTTAAAAAAGAAACAGCCACATACACTTCTTTAGACAGTTTCCTAACATCTCCATTACTTAAAAAAAGCATCTTATGTCTACAATATATTCAGAAAGGCCTTAGTGCAGACTCAAAATATACAACTGAACACACAAGATGGATTTTGAGTTGGTTCAAAGTACAGAATATAACGATTTCCTCTCTCGCTAAGTAAACAGAGGCTCTCATAAACAGAAGAATGTTCGCCTGAAGACCTGCAGTTTGCTCGCTTGTTGACATAATTCAGCCTTTTGTAAGAACTTGTAATATCTGTGCCACTGGATTTGGATTCCTCTACAAATCCCTGCAAACCTACAAAATTGAGCGTGTTTCCCCACATGTGTTATTACAGGGCTGTACCTGCTCTGTGGTCGCTGAGGACCTTCATATGGCACAGAATCAGATTGTAGGCTGTGAGCAATCATTAGTGGTTCAAAGCGTCTACCTGCGTCCATCTGCCGTCTGTCTGGGCCACATCAGTAATAAGTTACTGATGTTATTTTGGTCACAGTGGGGCTTGTATTCCAGCTTGAATGCTATTCTGTGTTCACTCCTAGTTTATTTGTATTAAATCGGAGGTCAGTAGGGTTTCATATATAAATACACATTCTGTCGTGCAGTTTGATGAAATGTATTTTTGCTGAATTTAAAGCAGCAGAAATATTGACGCTGTACCACTGACATGAAGCTTCAGCAAGCATACAAAAAACTTACAGCAAGTGGAAATACATGGCTGACCAGTGTCTCTAAAGCTCACTAGTTTACACAGCAGGTCTTGGTAAATAATTCTTTTTGCAGTGACAGTTCCCTTTTTTTTAGTATCTGAGCTTTACAATGCAAAGATTCACACACCTCAGAACAGCTAATTGTTTTTCAACCACAGTTACAGTCTTTGTGTTGGTTGCTTTTTCCAGCAACATAATGTGCAAAAGTTGATCAATAACCAGGACTTTGTAGGTGTAGTTCTTCACGTGACTGTGCTGGCAGTATGGATCAACAACGTCTAAACTATCACCACGTTACAATCCAGATGTTGGTGATGTTTTCAGTGATGTGTCCTCATGTTTTCTAAAACCAACAAATGTCTCCTGTGAAATAACCGAAACGGTGAACTTTTGTAGAAAAGGCAGATTGTTCAAACCAGATTGCAAAGCTTTTAAACTCATCATAATCAACTCTCCAGGGCTCCCAGTGTAATCCAGTTGACTAAGCTGTGCTTCTCGTGTCACACAGGTACTCTGAGAGAGCAACCAGCCGACCATCAGAAATGGTTTCCCGCAGTGGCGCCACCAGCTCCAGCCCCTCAGAGGAGACGGGTGGAGGCCGCAAACCTTCCGCCAACAGGGGCAAGAGGCGCAGACGAAACCCAGAGCTGGACGAGTCTCAGTACGAAACAGAGTACACCACAGGAGGAGAGACGGGCAACGAACTGGACGAAGAAGAATGGGACAAGTAAGAGCTGACCGTCCATGACTGTGCTGAGCTGCTCGCATATTGTCTGGATTAGAAATGAAAATGTCATTAGCCAAGAACTCAGAATGTAGATTGCAGTCAAATACCGTGGCTCCCTCAAGACCAGACCTAGATTCTCTGATATGAATTAATAACTGTAAGCTCAGAAAACCCAGCTCACGTGACGGCAGCTTGGTGTACAGGACAATGCAGCTAGAACATTGTTTGATTTGAACCTTGTAAGTAAAGAACAGTAAGGTAATGGATGCTTCAAAAACAAAGCTTGGAAAAGGCCACAGGCTGTATATTCCTCATTCTGTCCAGGAGAGTAGTTAATCCTCTGAGGCATGCCAGTTCTCATGAGTTGTGCTCAGGCACACTGAGAGAACTGGGACAAAGGTACAAATAACGGTAGTCAGTGTGGAGACGCTGCTCTTATCCAGCTGTATTCAGCCACACTTCCATAAACATCAGATCTCAGCGTTATTGAACCCACAAACCTCCTGTATTGTGTCACTGGGCTTAAACTTGTTCAGCTTGGTGAAGATTGTAAGACGTCATGTTCAGGTCTGACAGATGCAAGTTGACTAGTGCTGAAGTTTTCACTCTTTTCCTCCAGCATGTACCCGGACATAACTTCAGATGCTCAGCGTCACAGCTATAAGAGAGAGTTTGATGCTGATCTGCGAGAGTACAAACGCCTCTGTGCCGAGATGGACGACATAAACGATCAGTTGAACAAACTGAGCCGGCAGCTGGACACACTGGATGAGACCTCAGCCAAATACCAGGTCAGATAAAGTCACCTCTAAAAGTCATGCATAGCAAAGCAAAGCTGGTGGAGACGGCAAAGTGTAGCTCACACAGTGGATGGAGATACACGAATAAACCAAGAAATTCTTGTGTTTGGTTTAAACACTGAAGGGACAAAATGTCACAAAGGAATATACAGAAATATAAGATTCCACATTAAACAGCAAATTTGAGACCAAACCTATTAAAATGTTGTTATTGTGTCTGTCTGTATTTAGTCAAATAGGGGCGATGCAGCTTTTCTCTTTGTCACACACTTTACTTGTATGTTTTCTTGAGCGTTTTGGGAGTTCAGAGCAAGAACTCCACATAGATTACCAAAGCAAAAACAATATGAAGTGTTTCGTATTAAAAAGCTGCTCTGCCCTGATGCACAGTCACCTCTACAGACATGTTGAAGGAAATGATTGTGATTTTGTGCTCAGAAAGAAGAACAGAAAACCCTCAAATAAGAGTGAAACGCACACAGATACCTTCCGGTGATGATGTAATATTATTGGATGTCACAGCTCTGGTTCGTTCCACCATATCACATAACCAACATGTCTGACTCAAGTGAAACAGGCTGTCTTTAGCCTGATAACTCAAATCTCAGGAGCTTTTCGTCCTTTCCCTCCTTATCTACACGATGTGACACGCTCCCTAATGACAGTGACTCAGATAGACACAAGGAGACTCGTTACATAAGACAGAACTCAGTGTTTTCTCAAGAGATAATTGATCAGATGTTAAACAGAAAAGCCAAAGAGCCCGTCAGTCTTACCCAGTGTTTTCCCCTCGTTCTGTTTCAGACTGTAGCAGAGGAATATAATCAGCTGAAGGATCTGAAGCAGGTGAGGACATATTTCTTTGGTCATTTAAGGCAGCATCAGTCTACAGCAGCTACGAGATGTCACCTGATTTCTTTGTTGTGGCGTTCTTTAAATATATATAGTTTTCTGTCTACATTACCTCTCACACCATCTGTCCCCCCAGACGTTGTATGACTGCTGTAGTTGTGTTAAATGGCCCCTCTCTGCTCTCTGTCCTGTGTAGACACCAAACTACCAGTCTAAGAAGAGAGAGTGCCGCCGATTGAGGCACAAACTGTTCCACATCAAACGCATGGTGAAGGACTACGACAAGAAACACTGAAGAAGCCACCGAGCCCTGACTCTCTGCTCTGTGGTCGACACAGCAGACGCTCACAGACACACTCCAGAACAAAGACTCTGTGACATGCTGAGACCAAAGTTGTAGGAAACACACATACACACTGCAGACACACTACAGACACACACACACACACACACACAGGGAACATACTGTACATTACTAATAGTTTAGACGTTTTCTTTCATCCTCTGATCACTTACACATATCGTCACCACTTTTAAAAACTAAAGCAGGACCCTCAGCTGTAGCTCCTCCAGAGCAAACGCTGCCGTTTCTATAAGGGTCCAGCTCAGTGTTTGCAGTGTGCAGCCACATGTGAAGATCAGAGGGTGTGGTGGGAGAAAGATTGTTTGAAAGTCACCTGATCTGCAGTCCCCTGTGATAACGCTGTACTCTCTGCGGTTCTGTTTGCTCCGCAGATTGCCAACTTTTCTTTGTTTTATCGCCGCAGATAAAGAGCAGTATTGTAGACGACGTAGTAACGGCTGAGACAGGTTGCTGGGAGCAGATACGCAGTTTCTTTAACCCTTGGCATGATGTTATCTTTGTCACAAATGAACTTTAGCTGAGCTTTTCTTACTTGTGTTTATAACGACCATAAATGTCCGTGAAGTTAACTGCTCTCCGGTGACACTGTGTATTTTTCTATCGTACTGGTTTTTGGTGAGATTTTTATGCTGATCGTCACAGATGCGGTGAGACCAAAAAAAAAAGGGGGACAAACTGGCCAATGAGATACGTGTGACCTTGTTGTGTTGTACATATGTTTTTAATGAATCCTGTTCATGCTACATGCCAAGAACACATTCACAGTATGACTGTTAGAGCTTTAGATTCATAGTGACGTGTTTGTTAGTCAGATTAAAACGTTCTCATGCTATGCAAATTGGTAAAAGTTAGCCAAACTGTTTTTATATTTTTTATCATGTGCACTCCTCAACGTGTCTGTCTCACTGTCTATAAGCTAAACTAATCTCATGTTTTGATTCGTTGCCAATTAAATCGGCTGTGATTTTGTATTAATCCGCTTCATGTGTAAAGAGCTACGATCTCCTGTACATTTTAAAACTGTTCAGACACACTTTTGATTTGTCTTGCGTTTGTATTTTTATGAAGAACATTTTTGTCATTTTACAAACCGTTTGCGAGCCATTTATTTTTGTAAGAATTTATTTTCTCTGATGCTATTATAAAAGACCATTTTTTGTAACTGTATACTTCCATAAATTATGTTGTCTAAAAGGTATTGAATTCAGTAAGTAATAAACATTTCTAATTCTCTAAAAGTGGTATTTTACTGCTCGCTTCTTGATTCGGAGGCATTTTGCTGCTCTGTGCGGCTACAACGAGCGTCCAGCAGGGGGAGCAGGAAGACTTTCTCAGGAATGATCAGCAGACAATCCCAGTGAGGCTGATACAAGCTGCTGCTGCCCTCTGCTGGTAAGTGATGACACTAACCTGCAATTTGCTGAGTCCCAAATCCACATTATTTACTGTGTATGCTTGATGTCGCTGTTACAGCTCTGTATCATCACGCAAGTTTAACTTTACACAGAGAAAGCAGCATTTATTTAAGATGAGTGAAAAATGTTTTAATGTGCCACCAGCTGCAAAGTCTCAACGTCCTTTTGATCCTGAAATTACTGTAACTAGCAGCTATTATAAAACGGTACGCTGAACAGTGTTCTGTGTGCAAAATAATGTTGGACTGAAGCATTGACTTTAAAAGCAAGGATGAGTTCCTGCAACAGGTAACGAGGGAAGACGCACACAGTCTTCGGAAGATTTTTGTGACTCCGGGAGAACTTTGAGACAAACACTTGTGAACTTTCTCACGCTGGTCTCACACATTTGTTTAAATAAGTTATAAACAGTCCCGCGCTGATAACTGCTGCAGATGTTTGGTGGTTCTTCCAGCTGTTCACACGTGAGAATGGAGGCATTAAGAGGAGACGGAGGCCCACTGAGGAGGGTGAGTACAACCTTCATTTCCTTTGTGCACAAGTTTTGGGGCAACAGTGTGTATAAACTTCCATCCATCCATCATCTCTACACCTTAATCCTCACTAGGGTCATGGGGTGCTGGAGTCTATCCCAGCTGACTCAGGGTGAAGGCAGGTTCACCTGGACAGGTAACCAGTCTATCACAGGGCTACACTTAGAGACAGACAACCAAGCACACTCACATTCACACCTACGGACAATTTACAATCACCAATTAACCTCAATATGTCTTTGGACTGTGGGAGGAAGCCGGAGAACCCGGAGAGAACCCACGCTGCACTGGGAGAACACAGAAAGATTCCAGGTGTCCTCACCGGGATGTGAACCAGCGACCTTCTTGCTGGGAGGCAAGTGAGCTGTATATAAACTTAACACCCCAAATCAAGTATTACCAGATATTTAGAGTATATATCGGAGGGTGGGTGCAACTATTTTGCCTGCAGAAACCATTAATCGTGACTTTTTACTGTTGTGTGGCAGTATAAGACTTGATCAGTATAATCAGGAAAAACAGGAATGCCTTGAATGATCCAGTTTTCTCTGTTGGTGTCAGTAAAAAGTGTAGAATGAGCAGTTGCTGGAGAAAAGAGGAAACAGAGACTTTAATGGCTGTAGTGTGTGTTTCATGGTAATGCAAGTGTGTTTACAGTCAGTGTGGCCCCCAGTATCAGTAATAAGGCTACAGCGAACCATTGTTTTCATGAATTATCTGTGTTTTGATTCATCGTTTAGTTAGAAATTTTCCAAAAAATAGAGAAAAAGTCCCCTCAGACAATTTCCGAGAGTCACTGATGATGTCGTCTTTGATGTGGCCAACGTCTAGTGTGTTATAATAAAAACATCAGCAGCTTCTGTTCTGTTCTTAGACACACAAGTCCCCCACAGAAATAACGAGTCAGCAATACAAACTTCTTTAGCGTTTTTTTTTTTTTTTAGTTTTGTCGTGGTCATAAAAACATGATTCTTTTAAATGTAAAGCTACACAGTCAAATCACTAGAGTTTATATTCCAACAAAAAAACACAGAGTGATGAAGTTTTTCGACAGCATCTGGGATCATGGTCATTTTTGCCGTTTTTTTTTCATGATATAACATTTAATACAAAAATTCATATCACTCTACCCCAAAAAAAAACATGTTCATCACCACCGATTCTTATCGTGTCAGTCAATTAATTTGGCAAGACAAACGTTTGTCACACTGAGCTGCAGTTCATGGCACTAGCATTCATGAACCACGACGTACCCTCTTATCTGAGTACCAACAAACACCTCAACCTTTGCACATCAATATCGGAGTACCTTGCATAAGGATAGCTGCGAATGGGGTTAAAAAGAGGAAAGAAATCAAAATGAACTACCTCTACCTTTATAAAAGCAACGGAAACAGCGTCCAGTTTCCAGAGATTCATCAGACACGAGTCTCGCTGTAGCTGTCTCTTACATTTGGTGTCTTCTTCCACAAAACTTTACATTTTTAAATATATTTTGGCTTAATTCTGGCGGACAGACGGGAACTATAACTGGTGTCAGTGATAATGGTGCTTTGATCCCTTTACATTTCTCTTTAGCACATGAATAGTTTACGACACAATCTCTGTTTTTAATGTATAAAACATGAGGTAATAATGTTCGACGGGGATGTGACTGTCTCAGGAGCCAGGGTGTGTTTGATTAGCTTGATGTCTGTGAAGATTCTCAGTCATCCAGGTCGTGGTTATTCTGGTAGATGAATCGTAGCAACTGGACTTGCTGGAGTTCCTTGAAGACGTTCCACCTCTCATCCAAGAGGCTTCATCAGCTCTGACTGACTAGTTGGGAGTTCCAGATACTGATATCCTAAAGGAGCCATTAACACCTGGGGGTTTGTTGCTCCTCCCCCTCGTTATGTGGGTTGTTAGTGCTCCCCCTGCCACAGTGGGGTTCGTTAGGGTCTGTTGTGGGTAGGTGTGGATTCATCTTCCTGAGGAGAGATCTTAGGACTAGACAGGTGAGAGGGGACGCCTCAGACCTCCACCTCTGCTGAGGGATGGTCTTTCCAGTTAGATGGTTTCTTTCACTCCTCTCTCAAACCATCTGACCTCCCCGGCCAGAATCTGTACGTTGGTGTCTTCAAATGAGGGTTCTTAATGATGAAGCCTCTTGGATGAGAGGTGGAACGTCTTCAAGGAACTCCAGCAAGTCCAGTTGCTACGATTAATCTACCAGAACTACGTTAGCTTAATTGCTGCATGGTGGCAACTTCTGCAATGCTCTATAATGTACTATAGTGAGGTAATAGCTCCACATTTTGGGAAATATACTTGATTGATTTCTTATGAGAGCTACATGAGAAGATTGACACCACTCTGTTGCCCTTATGTTCAGAGTGAGGCTTTTGTCACTATTCAGGCCTGATCGTGGTTTTAATCGTCTCATTTAACTCTGCAAAAAAAAGCAAAAAAACATATTTCCAAACTGTTAAACTATTCCTTTAGGTATATAACATACAAAATATGTGTTGAACATACATCACAGAGTAGAACACAAGTGCCCATGCCTCTTCACAAATACGTTTGGTAACAAAGTCTGTGGGTTGAGTCCACTGCTGGGTTCAAGACAGACGGAAACATCACACAGCTCAGGTATGATCTACACAACGTGTCCCAGCTGTGACAGCACAAAGCTCTAAACGTGGAACCGCTATGGCTTCCTTCTGACTAAACAGCAGAGCAGAGAGAACACACACAGAGCCTGGGTTCAAACTGAGTCACATTAGGGGTGGTATGGGAGGAGGTAGTACAGGCACAAGGCCTCATGTCAGAGTCTGCAGTTTAATGAAAGCCCTGTTCGTCCAGAATGAGACAAAGAGAGACCTGATGGAGGTAAGAGCAAAACTAACAAGTGCTGCAAACATGTATATAAAGACAATCATACATTTTGTTTCCCTGAAAGCAGCTTTGGTGTGATTCCAACCAAACCGTACGGAGCTAATGTGGGAAAAACTGACCTCTACGCTCACAAACCCCAGTTACTACTGAGAACATTCACTTTGTACTTGTATGAAACCTTTGTGGGCTCTGATTCCTCCCGATCTGGCCTCGGTCCGTCTCACTCTGGAGCCCAGCAGGGTTTACTGTCCCGGAGCGTAGGGCCAGCTGATGGAGCTCCCCGATAGCTGCATGTCTCGGATCAGCGTCTCGATGGGCGTCTTGCCCACCAGCCTCATGAAGAAGAGCTGGGAGATGAGGTTTGCCGGCACGGCGCGCAGAGCAGGGAGGCGCAGCAGCAGGCGGCCGAAGCGCTGAGGCTGGTTGGGGTACTGCAACCTCTCGTACTCCGTCAGGGCAACCTGGGCCTTCTCCTGCAGGGACTCCACATGGGCCGGGTCTGTCAGACCACATGCATCTGTGACACAAAGAATCACAGGATTTCTCAGTTATTTAACATTTATTTAACCAGGTTGGTCCCGTTGAGATCAGAGATCTCCTTTACAAGGGAGACCGGGCCAAGAGGGCAGCAGCATGGTCATGAAACAGCAGATAAAATTTAACAACATTAAAACTTGCTCACATATAACAGCTGCACACAGACCAGGTCACTGTGAGGATTTCACCCAAACTTTAAAACTCATTCAGTGTAACAAGGGCTTGAAGCTGAAGTTCAGATTGTAATTTATTCCAAGCATTGTGCAGAAAACCTAAATGCTTTCTTGCCCAGTTCAGATCGTACTTTGGGGACGACAGATTGCAGAGTATCCATAGATAGATAGAGGTTGTGACTTCCACGTTTTCTTGTTAAACGACGAGACAAACAGGAAGGAACGACACCCAGAATGGTTCCAGGATGAATTATGGATTTTCGCTTTTAAATTTCGTGTTTTAATTTAGCTTAAATGTTTGGTTTCTTCAAGAAATAGTTTGTCATTTGGGGGGGAAAAAATAAGAATAATAATTTGCTTTCTTGCTGAGAGAAGATTGATACCACTCTCATATCTGTCTGATAAATCTGAAGCCACAACTAGCTGATCCTAGCTTAAAGATCCTTAAATAGACCTACAACCACATAATCCATCTGAGCTTCTCATTCTTTCTCTTTAACTTTTACACAACAGCCTACACAAGTGGAGCTGTCGATCACTGGTGTTGTTTGGACGGAGCCCAACAAACTCCAGCATTTACTCAACACCAAGCTATCTACCTCCTCGCTATGTTATCCTTGTTGCTCCTCTCCTTTAATTCTTGGCAAGACTCATATGTCAAACTATTGCCTCAAAGAAAATCCTCTCTTGTTTGTTCCCCTTTAGTTAGGTCAGAGGTCAAGCTCCACATCACAGGATCCCTGGAGCTAATGCGAGAAATAATATCTGAGAAGCCGGAATCTCGTCTGCTCCCTCAAACAGTCGCTCTTGTTTTGGTTTTCTGTAAAGAAGCTTGAGGTCAGTTTACAGTAAAGATATCAAGTGACTGCAGCTTATCAGTTGCACAACCTCGTAAAATTCTGCCAGACTCACCGGGGGAGAAGAGCGCGATGGCTTTGAGGCAGCTGTACTCGGCCGAGTCCACCTGCAGCCTGTTCAGCTTGTCCACCTGGTCCTGGAAAACCCTGACCTGGTCCATGAAGGACACCACGCGCTCGGCGGACATGGGGGACGAGTGGAAGCCGGCCGCTGCCAGCAGAGGAGCCATGTGGAGAGGCAGGGCGGACTGGGCCGCGTTCAGGATGAACAGCTCGCTCCAGCTCAGCCTCAGCAGCGCCACCTGTGGGACGGAAGGTAAGAAAGAGTCACCTCAGGGCAGCGAGTATCTACAGGCCGTTTGTGTTGCCATGGTAGGAAAAATACACGAGTTACTAATCAGATCTGTTTCATTCATTTGTCTCAGCCGTGACAGTGTGGCAGTAATCCAGAATGCACAGCAGGTTACCAGAGACCTGAAACTGGAGAAGGTAATTCAAATTCAGCCAACATTAGCGTTATTATTTTCACCTTTGCTGTTCCTACTGTGACGTGTCAAAATGTCAACCAGGAAAAAGACTCATTAGAGGTTTAGAGAGAGTTTTTTTTTCTTAACTTGGAGACAGTCGACAGTTTTGCCTCTTCGGTTGTCTAAAAATGATTTAAATAAAACATTCTTTAAGTGTTTGTTTTCTCAGCTCAAGCCATCGCCTGCGTAGCTCCTGCTTATGTTTAAGGTGTTGCAGGTGAAAATGACAGAAAACCACTGACTTAAGTGAGCAAATCTTGACATGCATCAACATTTAGAGGCTTGACTTTAGTGATGTGGCCTATGTGTGCACTCAGCTTCAATGTGAATCAAATGTCAGCAAAGAGGTTCATGTTTTTGTAACATGCAGACGGATGCATCTATGAGCTTGTTGTGGAGGTGCAATGTGGTTGTAGTATTTAGTGACTTGAATATGAATACACAATAAACAAAGGTATAGATAAAACACCTCTGCACTGACCTGCTCTGAGACCGGGAGCTCTGGGAAGTATGGGATGTTTCTGGCCCACTCGATGGTGCTGAAGAGGAGCCTGGCGGCCAGCTCACAGATGCTGTCGATGCCCATGACTGAGGCTCCGCTGGCGGACGCCTGCATCTGTGGCTGGCCGTACGGGGTCCCGTAGCGGCTGCTGGGGTACGGCTCGGCCCGCAGGAGCTGGGAGATGAGCTCCGACACCGGCTGCCCGTTGAAGTAGTCCGCCCCGATGTGGCCTGGGCCCGGACCTCCAACGCCTCCTGCCAGGGAGTTTGGGCTGATACCTGAGTGAGACGGAGGGATGCGACCTCGCTGGACAGCTGCAGAGAGACACAGCAGGAGGCGGTGAATGAAAATGGTCTGCCAAAGAAGATCCACAGATTCTTACTGAATCAGCAGACATGTAGACACATCTAAATCCTGTATGTAGTCGATATATGGGCAGGTTAAAGAGGGAGTTCTGCTTTACAGTGAGCTGCAAAAGGTTCTGAACAAATGGCTTCTGAATTACTAACAGCAGACACACAATAACTGACTTGGTTCAAAAATCTACTTCATCTTAAATAAAATAAAACCCAGAGTTAGAAAACCTTTAAACTGCTTAAAACCAGGATGTTTCAAGTGTTCTGTAAAATTAGTGATTTCCAAAAAGTACACAAACACGTGAAAAAGCGACACAGCTGCAGCAAGAAGTGTAAAAGTGTGACTGAGTGCTGTGTTCTGGACGTGGACCGTCTACATGAGCTGGGCCTTAGGCTGGCTGTCCTTGTTGTTCACTTGTATTAGAGGTTAAACACACACCCCAGCGCTCGACCATAATCACATGTTAGCTGTTAAAATAGTCTGCACACATATAGCACCTTCTTAGCCGAGTATGACAAAGTGATCACCTCCCCGCTAGAAAGAAGAAATCTCTTAGACTCCTGTATTGTTGTTGAAGGTTTCAGTAATTGTGTCGTTCCTCTCATCTGTAGTTTAGGTAGAAGGTTTAGGGTTTTTTTTTTTGCAAGATATTTAAAAAAATAAACAAAAAAACAACACATTTATTGGACGAGAGAGGCTAGTTTTAGTTTTCATCTGTATGTAAGAATCTCTAAAGAATGATTTGGGAGATTTTCATTTGAGGTTTATACAAACATGTGGGAGACAGCGGAGGAGGTCTTACAACAAACGTCCAAAGAAGCTTATATGAAAAGTTCTGGGGTGAGAAAAAAAAGCAGGACCCTCCCCGGCTCTGTTAATTATTTCCTTAACTTGTCCTCAAAGCAACGACATCCTCAAAAGAGCTCAGAAATTCTATCCAATGTGAAAATACAGCTGATGTCCAGTTTCAAAAACAAAACTACTAAAATCAAAGCAACAGAATAAATCACACTGGAGAGATTAAAAAAAAAAAAGAGTCTCCTCTCCTTAAAAAGTCAGACTACCTTCCTTTCAGCAATTGGACATGCACATAACCCCACTGTAACCCTGTAATCAAGAGATAATCAATGGTGAGACGGCTTCACGTCACTGTAGTCCCCAGATCATAAATCTACTGCCAGTAACCCAATGTGAACGCCTTCCCCGGGTTAACACGCGGCTGCCCTCCGTGTACCAAGCTTCTGTTTTAAATTACAGCGAGCGAAATTCAGTTCTGGTGCCAAAGTCTCCCTTAAAGCGGTCCGAGTGGCTGCCTCCACGACTGGGTTAAAGGTGAAACAGACATTTCCAGGTAATGTGGAAACAGTGCAACCTGCGTCACAGTCAGCATGGTTCATTAATAACCACGAGGCCCAATGTAACCCCTGGCATGCCGTCACTCCGGTGCTCGCTATGTATGGCCGAGCGCCGGGCATCCACTGACACAAACTGAAATACATGTGGAGTTAGATTACACTAAAACACAACTACCAAGGGCTGAAATGTGGTGTGTCGTTTAAGTTCTGATTTCCAAAACCCTCTCTCTGAGCTCCTCGTGTGAAATTTAAAAACGAGCTGCCATCAGTTGGTTGTCGTCACCGGAGCACATGGGGGGTTTGGGGGGTTTGGGGTCCGCTCGCTGCTGTTTTGTCCTGTTATGAAAATCCGACATGTTTGCCTTCAGCTGCCGTGAAGCTCAGCAGCTGCAGGGAGTCGAGCAGCAGAGTGAAAACACGCTTTGGTTGACAGTATAAATATTGTGTTTGGATGGCTGGCAAATGTCAGCGGCTGTTTCTGTGGAAGCAGGCGCATTCTGTGAGTTACCCATTAGTGGTATTTATGGATTTGAAGGAGTTCGTCGGAGGATTTCTTCAGGCTGCATGAATCGGTGTGTTTGTAGATAAAGAATACGATTGTTTTCATTCTGGATGGTGCAAAGTAGCCGAGGACATTTGGAGGATAATTCAAAACACCACGACTGCATGTACATTTATAGACATTAGTTTCTTCCTTTATAGTTGTTCTAATACAATTATAAAAATCTGAACTATTAGAGGTGTGAAATATCTAAACCACATCATCGTCAGTCAGCTACAACATTCTGCTTATACGTTAATGCGTCATTAATAATAATAATAATAATAATAATCCGATGGTTTTGTTATGTCAGGGGCAAAACAAGCAGCCTTCCATTGAAACCACATTTTTGCTGTTCATACTTTTAAATGTAATATTTTGCATTGTATTATTTCTGCTTTCACTTAAACCTGCAGGATTTGAGAGTTTGTGCAACAAGTTGTAAATTCAGAACCCTTCAAGCTGATTTGACAAATTTATCTAAACCTGCTAATTTACAAAACGTGCAGATAAGGACCAACGTGTTCACTTTGTTGTTCTCTGCCCGCTGCTGTGCTAAACTGCTTTTTAGCTGCTAGCCGTCCTGCCGTGTCCACCTGTGCGGGTGGATTTGTCAGGACTTTTTTTTGTTGACAGCAGCCGCCTGCTGTGTCAGGAAACCACAGAGCGGCGAGAGTGAACTAAAACACTAAACTTCAGTTCAAAACAATGAGTTGAAAGGTGTTAAAAAGCTCCACAGCACTGGAGGGAACGGCACAGTTAGAAAAGGATCTGTGATTAATAACCGCTTTCACACAGCTCGCAGACATTTGGTCCATTTCTCACATAAAACTATTGATGATAAGCACCAGTAGTGACCGCACACAATTATTTGACCTTTTAGAGTTTAACCCCTTGTCTGCTAACATAAAACAAAAAGCCCTTTAATCTGCTGTGGACAAAGAGCTCCGATACCTTCTTTCCGCATCCCAACACGGAAACATTTCTTCAGACGACAGAATTGGCACTGGTTGCGGTGATGCTGGTCGATTTGGCATTCTCGATTTGATCTGCACAAAACACAAAACATTTAAAGCAATGAGTCAAAACCATGTAGGACACACTGATATTTTATGATAATGTCCAAGAAATTGCTCGCAGGGCTTCAATAACTTTCCAGTAGGAAAAATGAAATTTGCATTTATATGCCCGTCTCCCCCCTGCCTCCCCCCTCTCTGGCTGACCCCTATGATGAGTGAACTGTGTGAGCCGGCGTGGCTGAAAAGCTATCGAGGCTGTGACCTTTGTAAATCATCAGCCCTGCACGCCCTTGTGTTGCCTTTTACAGCAGGTTGAGGTCTGCCAACATTTCACACAGAGAGCCCTTTTTTTAGAGCTCCGGATGTGAGAAACCGACTAAAAAGACGTCTTCCATTCAGACTTAATGCATTATTACGGGGACGAAATAATTATATTCAGTAGCTGCGAGAGGTCTTAGTAAGAGCAGAGGACTGATACGCAACATTATGTTCTTGTGGTGGAGAATAATGGGAATGTTGACCTTCTGAGGCAATCCATCCTCACATGACTGACCTTCAGGGCTTTCATTTCTGCTCTTTTTTTCCCTTTTTTGTCTGAGGGCTGTTTGCGAGATGTGGCCAAGGTTGGAACATAACATTCTGGAGTGAGAAATGAACTAATCTGCGCTCTCCTTTATCAATGTGAATGGGCATAGAATGGCTTATAAAGGAGCCCGCTGTGTTTGGCATCGATCAGCAGCATGTAAACATCCGACTAATGGTTTAAAGCACAAGATGATGCAGCTGTGTCCAGATTTCAGGACATTTCTAGGTGTCGGCGCTTACAACCTCCACTTACAGGTGATCACAGGAGGCTGCTGATCTACACGTTAACAAACTCTAATCTGCATTTAACTACATTATGAAGAGTCATTAGCTACTCATCCAAGTCCAGCCACAGTCTCCCAGCAGCTCCTACCTGCAGGAGTAGCTCAGGTTCCTTCTGATGCTCCTCTTGAAGAAGCTCTTGCAGCCCTCGCAGGTGAACACGCCGTAGTGCTTCCCGCTGGACTTGTCCCCGCACACCACGCAGTCCACCACGCAGGCCTTGTCCTCGTCCCCGACGTCCACATCGCTGCTCCCGGCCTGGGGCGAGCCGTCCTCTTCCTCCCTCCTCAGGTAAGCCTTCTCCCCCAGTCCGTTAGTGTCCCCGTTGGGGTTGCCCCATCCCCCGCTCACCATGGCCATATTCTCTGAGACACGCAGTCCTGTGAGTGGATCATACACAGACCCGCCCTGTCCCAGCCGGCTTCCAACTGCCCTCAAAGTCTAAAAAACTGACTCCGGATTCAAAGGCAGCGGCTCCAGGTTTGTATTCAAGGCAGGTTTTATCCAAAAATATCTCAAAAGTTGAAGAAAATCCTGTCCGGGGCTCCCCCCTGTGTTGACCTTTCTCCCCTTTGCCGTCTGGTTAGGCTGACCTGGAGGTCTTTCCACTGCTGTTTTCCCTCTCTTCTTTAATCCCTCTAGTCTCTCTGTTCTTCTTTTCACCCTTCTGTTTTCTGCCCTGACCTCTGATCAATGGCTGCCGAGGTCTGAGAAAACTTCAGACGCACATTGAGTGGTTCAGAGTTCAGGCAGGAGAAAAGGGTGCAGCCTTGCTCTTTTCACAGGAAACAATAAATTACACTTTGACTCCCTCTCTCTTTCTCCCTCCCTCTCACTTTCTTTCTATTTCTTCCCCCCTGAAAGAGAGAAAGAAAAAAAAAAAATACAACAAACGGCCTCACCTATCCCTAAGCACAGCGAGGAGGGACAAAACAGAGTCGCTGTTGAAGTGAAAAAGACGCTCAGCGCCTCTCTCACGCACGACTTTCTCCCAGAAGGACAAGCAGGAGGGAGGAAAATAAAACACAGCTCTCCTTCAGGCAGGGTTAAACTGCCCTGCCCTCTCCTCCAACTTATAAACTAGTCCAACCAGTTCTTGCCGTGCTGAGGTGTTATCTGCTGATCTGAGGCAGTTCCAGTCCAGACTCACTCTTGACTTGTCGAGGCTGTTATAAAAGCAGAGGTGATAGAGATGAAGGGGAAAAATAAGGTGATATTTTGCCTTGGAAATGTGAGAGCCAAAAGAAAAGCAGGCTGTGCAGTTTGGGATGTTCGATTTGCTCCTTTCCTCTGAGTTCTGACCAGAGTTGACCCCTTCAGCTTTTATACACAAGTGTTCAGCTCAGTAACACCTTTCTGTAGATAACCAAAAATATCCAAAGCATGTAGATTCCACGCTTGATATTAAAACAAGGAGAGCGGAGAGAGAAAAAAAAAGACAATACGCTCTTTCACTCCTAGAATAATTTCTCAGTGGTTCCTGCAGCAACACAGTCCATCACAGAAATCCTCCTGTTCTGTCTTCTGTGGTGAAATTATGTTTTCTTGCGGCTCCTCCAAGTCTTTCAAAGTCAGCGGTGTCAGAGGATCAGATGTCACAGAAAAAGCAACAAGCCGAAACAAAAGCGGAGTTGAGAAACCTCCTCAGTTGCTTCTCCTCTGTGGAAGCCTCGCAAAGTGCCGTCTCTCTCTGTCTTCTCTTTTCTTGTTTTGTCAGTGCTTGTCCATCCAGCAGTAACAACCAGAGGCCAGAACCTCTCTGCATTCCCTGTCAGCGAGTCAGGGTGTACTGTTGCACCCTTTACTATTCTGCCCGTCCTGTTTTTTTTTTTTTTTTTTTTTTCTTCCCCTTTCCGCCTTTCTTTCTTTCTGCCGGCCCCGGCAGGAATAAATTAGGCAAACAAGCACAGGAAAAACACGGTCACAGACCTTTTAGTGAAAGCCAGACGCTGCAGTGGAGAGCAGCCCAGAGATAGCCTCCTCTCTCTCTCTCAATCCCCTCTCTGTGTCTGAGCTTCACTCCCTCCTTTAGGGAGAGTGAGCGTGTGTCTGTGTGCTGAGGGATTTGACACTGCTATTCAAGCCCTGCTGTTGCCATGGCGCTGGATGCCTTATAAGGCCAGCGGAGTCAAAGAGCACAGAGTGGGCTGCAGCCGCACACAAACACTCACATGCACACAGAAAGAATGCCGGGCCGCCCGGCTGCCTGACTGGCTGCCTGTTTCCCCCCTGACCCCGGGCCGGCCTGGGAGCCGAGGGGGGAGTTAACCTCGACACCGCCGTAAGACAAAGAGGGAGTCGACACACAGCGAGCGCATGGCACTCACACTCGTGTTCTCCACTCCGCTCTAATCCCAAAGACTTCCTCCGACTTTGTTGACCCAATAATAACAGGGAGCGCCTGTTGTTGTTGTTGAGCAACTTGTCAAAAGGTTACATGACATGTCACCGGCTGCTTTTCACACCTGCTGCACGCGCTCACAGGTCCGTGTGAGCGAGGTCCGCCGGCGCTGGTGAGGATTCTGGAGGGCGGTTCAGTTTTGTCTGTCCATGAAGTTATTAGACCTGCAAGAGAGAAAGATTCAAAAGAGAAGGCTGGGAATTATATTTCCCTTTGTGATATACTCCCACTACCAACACTTTAAAAATCCTGAATAGAAATGATAAATAAGAATAGTAAACTTATATCTGTAGCAGCTACAAGGTGCTTTACAAACACTAAAGCAATAACGACTCATTAGAAAAAACAGTGGAACATTAGAAAGAGCAGTAAAAACATTAGAAAACTGAATAAATGTTGGATGACTGCGACTCGGAGCGGTTCTGACTCTGAGGAGGAGCTTGTTTCAGACCATTGGGGCTGCAACAGTAAATGAAAGGCCCACCTTTGTTCCAAGCCTGGATCATGGGACTCTGAACAGTAATTGATTCTCTGATCTGACGGATCTCGGTGCAGAATAAGGTTCTAAAAGTTCTGAGATGAAGCCTGGAGCCAGACCGTGTAGAAATTTAAAGGTGATCAGAGGATTTTAGATGAACTTCTGTGGTTTAAGCAGGACCGGAGCGTCGTGTGGCGGTCCAAACAGACAAACCGGGACAGAACCAGGCAACCATTTAGTGTTGTGATGTCACATTTGTACAGAAGTTTAAACACTTTTTAAGCACATTTGGAGCAAAGTCACCAAACTGTTTAAGCGGTTTTCACCAGATTTGACTGTTGCATTGAGGAGCTGTTGTTTTTTTTTGTCCTGGTGACTATTTAAATTGTGGTTAGAGCACTTTTCTCACTCATTTGCATAAGAGCCTGGTCTTGTTCGCCCAGAATAGCTGCCCAGAGGCGTTAGAAAGGTGGCTGCCAAGTGGCCAGACTTGCCCATAAGGACTATGGTACTGATGCTAAGCGCCAGTGCAGGAAGTAAATAAGGCCTCTCGTGATGGAAGATTTTTGCATGAGGATGTAAACATTTTTTGCATCGACTGCAAGCCAGAATTTGGAAGAATAATCCACTCACAGACTTTCTGTCTGGTGGACATTTGTTTAGACTCGTTTGTAACACAGAAAAAAAAAATCAGCCTCTTCAAGCCAGACGACAGCATCAGCGCTGTCCTTACACATAAAGCTCCTTAACAGTTTGATTTTATACTAATAATTAGTTCATCTGGATTGTGGATGTGAGGATACAAGTCAGCATCCTGATTCAAGCTTACTTTTTAGGAAAGATCACATTTTTGTTGATATCTTAGTAAAGTTAACATGTGCTCGTACAATCACAAACCTTTTCGTGACCTTTTTGTTGTTAAACCAACTTCACAGTCTTCTGCCAGTGTGTGCAAAAGGTTTCAACAAGATTTAGTTGCTAAAAGTGGATACTCCTGAAAAATAATCAAATAATTAACAACACCTCCTCATTATGGGGATAAAAATGTCCTCTTTGTGGCATTTCCTTCAAGAGCTGTGTGTGTTGACGTTTTATTAGATGCGCTTTTTTACAACCAGTAATTTTCATGTGTAAAATTAGAGGATTGTCTCACTAGCTTAGACTCTATTTGGTTCATGACACAAACAAAAGCCCTGTAATGTGGGCATACTGCTTCTGAAATCTAACTATAATTCACTGCATGACTCATCCGTCCATCGTCTTGGCAGTGGGCAGAGCTCCTCTGGAATTCCTCGCCTGCTTTCTCTGCCATACCAACAGTATTGTCATGTGAAGGTCTCCATGAAAAGAGGAGGACAAAATAAACAATCAGAGCCTCCAACCAAGGTTTCCAATAACAGCCTCCAAACGCAGGGAAAAAAAAAAAAAAAACCTTGACAGGGTGAGGTATTCACTGCTGCTTCCAAGCACGCCTGCTTTAAAGAACCTCTGTGCACCAAAAAGTGTTTGCTCATCACATGGTTTTACAGGAATTCCCCCTGAATGACAAAACATGTTGTCCCAGTGGTCTTCAAAAGAACACGCTGTCTCTGGTCGGGTTTGCAAAGTGCCAGAGGAGCAAAGATAAAGAAACGTTGATAGAAATATTGGCAAGAGACGAGAGTGTTTCTGTTTTTTCAGCCTTGTAAATGTGACCATTTGGTAACTTTAACCTACATCCGTCACAGCGACACTCATTCTGCATGGATAGGCCTTTTGTTTGGTTAAGAGGTTATCAGCGACCACGCTAAGCTGCTGTTAGTTGAATTAGTGCTTTTCCTTTAAGCCTCAGTGTGTATCAGCAGAAGTTGAACCTGCTCCACTGTTAGCATACAGATCTGGTTGCAGAGCATACTTAAAGTGCACAACGTAAGCTACCGTAACTTTAATGTGGTTTTAAAAAGCTCTTTATCAACATTTGGAGAATGAGAACAGTAAAAACCGCCTTTAAAAAAAGAACCTTTGTGCTCGTAAAATGCTGCTTTAATAGGAAGAAGGGGACAAATTCAATGATTTGATCAGTATATGTTTGAAGTGAACTGTTTCTGAGCACAAATACAAAACCAAATGACAACAAGCAAGAACAGATTTTGTGCAAAGTTTGCCTGTGATGGAGGAAGTATTCAGTAAAAGCACTAATAGCACACTGTTGAAATGCATTCAGAACCGTACTTACACAACGGTATGAAATTATCATCAGCTAAACGTATGTAAAGTGTGAAAAATAGTGACTGTGCAGTAAACTGGTCCCTGTCTGTGTTTTACTAATGTATGTATGAGGATTTTGGATTAATATTAATATGTTTAAGACTTGTTTTTACTGATTTATGCGTCATATTCTACGGGATCATCATGTGTCTGTAGCGTCGCTGTCCTGTGAGGACCGAGATTACAAAAAGTTTTTTATGAGCTCAGACAAACAGCATTGTGAGGAAGCATTTTCCAGCTAATCCAAGAGAGTTCTACTTTCTGTACTGGTTACCTGAAGGAGTAGGAGAATGTTCTCAACTCCTAAAGGAACCCTTGATCACTGTTCACTGTTCGCCTTTTGTAGTACTTTTGCTCCAGAGATCATCAGAAGTTAAAGTAAAAACAAGACTCTCTTGCTGCTTCAGAGGTCTTCTGATGCTGTGCTGAAAAAAGGTGAAAATATACAGAATTAACACAGAAAAGCAAACAGTGGTGTGATCTGTGTGATCTGTTGAAGCTCAGCGCCGAGCGGATGAAGAGCAGATTATATCATTGACCTTTCTGCCGTCATATGTTCCTGTTGCTTTGGCAGGATTTTTTTTTTTTAGTCTGTAGCGTCAGAGCTGGAGCGTCCGTACATGTGTGCTATAGTGCATATCTGGGAGTTAGTGGATGTGTGTGTGTGTGTGTGTGTGTGTGTGTGTGTGTGTGTGTGTTCTTTGCTCTTTGAACTGCAGGTCAGGAATGCAGCTGCTCTCAGCGTGAAGCCGACTGTGGTGAAGTCTGTGCATTCTTGACACAGAGAGGAGTCATCAGACGGAGCTTCAGTCGGCTCACCTGAACATCACAACCATGAACACACGCCTCCCATTCACCCAAACCTTCCTGTTAAAGCTCTCCCTGCTTTTACAACAATATTAGCTTCCAGCGCTCATAGGGGTCTTTTATTAAATATGCACCACAGCTGCAGCTCACTGATCACGATGAAAGGCCGGCGACAACCTACAGCTTTCCTGGTAAAGGGGTTTACCTGCAGGTCTGAGGAATTTTTCATTAAAAAAGTGGTTATGTGTTTATTATTACTGGGAAGTGTTCACTGTCTTTGAGCGAATAAAGGGACACCCGTCTGTGTTTGGGTGTCAGCAGACTATTACACATATGAGCTTGTGAGCGTTTGGTCATCAAGGAAGTGGAAGTGCAACATTTGCACATCCTATTTATATATATATATGAGTGCCAATTTAAATATACTACTGAACTGTAATCACCTGTTTAACAAAGGCTCACATTTCTCTCTCGACCTCCTCACCCCAACCTCTGTCTGAGTATCCAACGATGATTTAAATCAGCAAAAATGATTCATGCTCCCTCGTAAAATTAAATTTAACCTGGTGCACGGACTCACTTTTTGCAGAATGTGTAATATATTTATAAGCAGCACTAAACAAATAAAGGAAGACGCAGACATCATCTTTTACGCAGATTGAGTTTGACCCCAGTTTGTGACGACTGTCTGCTAACGCCGTTTCCAGTCTTAGTCTGGACGTGTGTTAACTGGATTAGTTAATGTGCAGAGGAATTTGCGAACCGGGGTTAAACTTTAACTCTGAGGAGTAACTCTGGGTGAACGATGCATGAACACATGACTCCCTGCTCCTTCCTCATTAGCCCCGCTGCCCTTTGGCCCAGAGGCCAGAGGAAAAATCATCTTCTCTTTCCTCCTCCCCCCCCTCTCTCTCTCCTCTCTCTCCTCTCTCTCACCACTCTGCCCGTCCTCAGGCCTTTGACCTCCAGCGAATGACGGAGCAATTTAAAATAAACAGGG